TACCTAGCAGGCTCCTGTGCAAATGGAGACATCTCCTGCAGCCTCTGGATCTTCTGTTGCGTCGTTTGCACTGGAGGCTGTGTCACCCGCTGTCCAGCCTGCCCCATCGTATAAGGCCTCACCGGTTGTCTTGGCGCCAATTCAGGCTGAGCCACTGGACGAACCGGTGTGGAGGGACCTGCTTGCATCGATGGTCCCGGGGGCATTTGAACTGGTCCCTCTTCGGGGACTTTGCGGCCAGTTCTTTGGATGGCCTGCCACTCCGTGGCTGCTTCATGACCCTCCGGCATGTATATCCCCAGTGCCGACTGCTGAGCATCAAAGAGGCCACGCAGTTTCACTGGTATACGTTGGAGGGCGTCCCGTGGGACTTGTGCACGATAGGGGGCATGGCCCCCGCGGGGATGATAATACCCCTTAAAGTACACCCCTCCATGAGGGTCATGGAATGCACCCAGCGTATCCCAGAATCCCCTCCTGTCCTGAATGACAGGGGTATGTATTACTAGGGTTGATCTGGGAACTTCGTGCAGCACCTTTGCCCGACCACGTTGTTCTGCCGCCATTTGCTGGGCACGGCGTTCCTGGTAGCCAGGTCCCAGCTGTGCCGGTTTGTACTGAAGCTCCTGCCGTCCTTTTGAGGCCTGCTTCGATTCTTGAAGTTGCAGATATGCTGCATAGTCTTCATCCCCCATCAGGGAGCGAAGTTGTGCAGCTTTCTCTGCCTCCACTTTTGCTTGCTGCAAAGCGGCTTCTTGTCTCTGCAGGACCTCATATGTCTCCCTTCTCTCCAGGGGAATGGGACTGGCAGGTTCACCTGCTGAACCGAGATACACAACATCGTCGTTACCAGCAGAATCAACGATTTCTGCACGGTTACGCAATTTGGTGTTCTCAAAAGGTTTCAGCAAGGGTAATTCAACAGGAATGTCACCTGTGGTTGGCCTTCGCGGGCCTTGGGATCTCTCCTTAGCCTTTTCAGGCTGATCTCTCGCCTTTGTAGGCGGGTCTTTCTCCTCTGCAGGCGAATCCTTCGCCTTTGCCTTTCCAGGCTGGGACTCCTTCCCTGGCGTACCCTCCGCCTTGGGACCGCTGGTCACCACAACCGATGGCGATGCCTGTTCCGGTTGGGTGGGGACAAAGCGGGCAGGGCGGTTTACACCACTATTGCTGCCACTACTGTCCTGCTGATCTGCCCAACATTTGGAGGTCCCCTCCTTCATGGCAATGCGGGCGAAGGCCTTGGCCTGCTCGGCCGGGTCCAGCTCATCGGCCGTCGGCTCAACCTCTAGGCGCTGCGCCTTTTGGCTGCCTCCTGCGGAGAAAAACCGCTTGATCTCAGCCTTGCACTGGCGTTTATGAGCTCGTTTACACCCATACTTTTCGGGATTCAACTGACGATCCCGCTCACGCCTCAGCGCTTTCAGCTCTCTTCACTAATCGGCCTTTCTGGCCTTTCGCTCGTCCAGTTTCTTGGCACGAGCAAACCGATCTTGATTACAAATTCGTCGTCTTTCTTTCTCCATTCTATGCACTTGTGCCCGGGTGGACATATCCCCCAGTAATGGAGATGCACACGACGAAAACGACAATTCCGAGATCTCCTCCCACCGTTCGTGGGGATCGTTGGGGTCCGGTCTCTCTGGACTCCCCTCGCTCAAGTCCCATGGTTCTGGGATATGCCTGAGCGCAAAGGCCATCTTTTCTGACCATTTCGGGTCCTCCTTGGCAATCTGATCTGCCATACCAGGACCATACCACCTTTGAATTCTCACTAGTCTGGCGGTGGTTAACCTTTCTCCAAAATGTTCGGCAGCCATCTGCCACCCTTTGTCAAGCTCATCAATGAGATCACTGTGGAACTTTGTCCACATTGCACGGCACGGTGGTTGCCGGCTATATGGATCTTTAGTGTCTGGAATAAATTCCAACACCCTTGAGCTTTCACCCGGTCCCCGTTCCGGCAACGCGGGCCTCCGGGGACTCCAGTTATGACCTTCCGGCCTTGGCGGACTTTTTCCGCATACCGCTTGAGCGCTTTCTGTGAGCGACTCATCTCCCGTCCCGTCCAATCCACTAGGTGTTCTAACATGCACCTGGGATTTGAGCCGCAGCTCCGGGATCTTGACCTTCCGGCCTTTTACTTTCTCAATGCGCCCTAAGGCTTTGGCCTCCCGGCCTTTGTATGGAGATGTCCGACTTCCCATCGGTCGCTCACCTGGCGATGGGCTTTTCCGCTTGGGTCGCTGCTTGCCAGCAACCTTCCAGTCTTCCTATGGAATGGTTGGCATGGGCAGCTCTGACGGACTTGGGGCCCTCACGGCCGGTGCCACTTGTTGGGCACTTTTCTCCTCTACCTCTTGTACCCGCTGCTTCTACTTCAGGAGGCGGTTGCTCAACGCCTTGACGTGGTCTTCGGCGGAGGTTTTGGCTTCTTCTGCCTCGCGGCTCTGCCGCTTCGCCTTCTTCATGGCCACTTCTTTTTCTCGAGCTTCTTTCTTAGCCTTGTTGACGGCGATCTCCAGCGAGGCGATTCTCTCAGCGGTCTCTTCATCCCGCTTCGCCCTCACCTTCTGGGCCGCAGCATCCGCCACTTGCTCCAAGAGCTCCATGATACCAGGGGTCTGCAGCAGCACCGCCATGGTCCCCTGATCTTGCTCTTGTTTCTTCTCCGCCGTCGGTGGGGCACCCGCTTCGCTCATTGGTTCATCTTCCCTTACGGGTGCCGAAGTGGCTGTGGAGGGTCCAGCCTTGTCCTCCCGGACTTGTTCTCCTCCTTGCCCATCCCGGCCTTTACTATCACCAACCGAGGTCGGTGTCCCCTCCTGGGGTGTTCCCATCTCTCCCGACGCATCGGGGGTACCCTTATGGGCAGACGTGTCCGATTCCTCGGCCTCCATTGAGAAGACCGGGGAGGGAACCCGTTGCTCCGAGCTTGCCCGTCCGCCCAGGCGGAAGCGTGGTCGCCACCGAAACCAAATGATACGAAAAGTCTGTGGGTGTGGGGTTCCTGCCCTCTTTGAGCTGCGGACCCACCTCGCCGGGCACCTAGGTCCTTACAGGGCACCTAGGCGGGACCACCCCTCCTACTCCCATATCCATATAAGTATAATGATTACCGTGGGACAAGGAATACTATACGATCTTGGGCAGGGCGTCCCCCACACCAAGGACTATTAGTAGGGCGTCCCCCACATCAGGCCAGTGCGCGTAACATGCGCACCCCGTGGTGTCACCCCCTCGGGTGCCCCCAGGGTGGGGCAATATAAATTGTCTTATGTTCAGGTCGCCAATTAATGGGGCTCATCAAAATGGTTAGTAAAATAATGATATCACTCAGCTGGCGACCCGTAAGGTTTAGAAATGGTGCAGAGGGGATGTCAACAGCCTCAACACCTTCCCCACAGTGATCATCATCAAATTGTGAGATCAAGGCACCCTGAATATAGGAGATGACTTTGATGACAAAGAAAGATGATGGCAACTGCATTATACGCCCAAAGAGTTCACTGAGGTACTATACAAATGTGGAGCACAACGTCAATATGTGGCAGTACATCACACCGAGACACAGGAGTCAAACATACCCCGAGTATGCCTTGGAGTACTGAGGAACACCCAATTCGCCATTGGGCACGTGCGTTTGTTTAGGGGCTGCCTGACTGGCGGTCTGCCCTGGATCGTGGCGAGATGGATCCAGGAGGGGCGTGTCAAGGCGCCACATGGTTGTTTGATGGGAATATGCCCCGTGGGGCATAACATGGTCGCTGACCACGGGAAGTGTGGTTGCTTGGTGGGAATGCGACCCCTGGGGCACAGGTGGTGGCTAATTGTGGACAGTGGGGTGTCCTGGGTTGAGTTGTGGTGAAGCGGCAGGCGTGGTAGAAAGATTCCGGGTATCAAAAGAGCATCTCCTATGAATGGGGGGTATTTGCCAAAGGGGCACAGACAGTGCCGTAGGGGAACTCTCTATTGTTGTACTCGGCCTGGCAGCTGTAAGAATGGTTGCGTGGGGTACATGTGTCTCTCTCGCGGTAGTCTAGGCACTCAGCCTGGCTGCCTGACACCCCTGGCCATGCGCACAACGTTCGCCATGGCCTGAGCGCAATAGCGCCCGACCTTTTCGAAGGTCACGGCCAGTCTGTGCCTTTTCTGAGCCGCTTTCCTTGCCGCTCAAGACCAGCAGTGCCAGCGCAGTTTTGCTGCAGAAGTGAGCAGCCTTCGTCGCTGCACAGCCTTGTCGAGGCGGGGAGAAGCGTTTCCCGTGTCATACGCCGACGTGCTGTGGACAAGGCAGCCCTGACCCGTGGACCTGCCCTCTGTTTTGACTTCGTCGACCGTTGAGGAGCAGTTGCGACCAGTTGGGGCGCTCAGAGAGGCAGCTGCGAGAGTTTCTACCAGCGTATTTGCATGGCTGGTTGGCAGTGGGTGTTTTGCTTCCCGTTTGAAGCTTTCCCTTGCCGTCGCCGCTGTTTTGTTGATCGTGTTGGTCGGCGTGCCAAGCAGTTCTTCGTGAAGAGCCGGTTTGCGCAAGGGGCGAAGCTTGTTCGTTGAGTGCACCCTCAACTGCTGTGGTGCTGAGGCTGTCGGCATGTCTCAGCAGCCCGTTTGAGGGCGACTTTACTGCGCTATCTCCGGGGACGACGGCCAGAATGGACCGCCGTTCTTTGCACTTGTCTAAACGGGATGACTTGTTAGTCGTCCTCTGGTTGCCGAACGCAGCAAGCGAGGGCTTTAATCTTCCCGAAACGCCTTGTTCGCTGTTGCGCAAATGTCATCATTGCCCGCGACAACGTCGGGTTGAAAAAGGGCTGTAAAACCATGAGACCAATCGTGTTGCACGTTAAGTTCCAGGGTGATTCTGGGACCTTCCCGGGAGCACATAGTCGTCAGTCCACCCACCCAGCAGTCAGCGCGGTTCCCCGCTGCCGCTGCCTCCGGCACTGCCGCGCTGTCCCCCTCTGCCCCTTGACGCCGACGCCGCTCGTCCGAACGACGGCATGAAGCTGACCATCACCACGGCGGACGGCAACCTCGTTAACGTAGATGTACGGCACGGCAGCCACGGCTCGCGGAGGCAACTGCGATGGCAGGCGGACTCCCAGCGACTATGTTCCCGAACGCCTGCGCTGCATTCGCGGCCTCGACGAGGGAAGCGCCTCGCTCTCTTTCAAAGCGTCCGATTCCGTTGTTTCTTATCCAAGCGCGGTGTCCAGGTGGATGAAGGAGAGATCGTGGGTAGCCTGAAGGCCATCCTGGAGGTGGAGACTGGCGTCCCGATGGCGCAGCAGATTCTGAGCTTCAACGGCTCTCCTCTGAGCGACGAGTAAGCCGCGGTGACGCACGGCAAGCGGCCCCACCGGCCACGCGCCCCCCCCGCACTCCTTTACAGCCCCTTTGCGTGCGGCTTTGAGCGATGTCCCAAGAAAGTGAAACTGAAATTGAGGTGCGCTGTGCGCAGCGCGAACTTGGCGTCGACCGGCGTGAAGGACGGCGAGCTGCTGATGCTGATGCGCGCCGGTGGTGCGCCCACTCCGGGCGCCGGCAGCATGGCGGCGCCGGGCATCCCCGCGGACCTTGTTCAGGCTGTGGATCAGCTGAGGAACGATCCGGCCAGGATGCGAGGCCTGGAGCAGAACAATCCAGAATTGGCGAGGGCGGTGAGGTCGGGGGACTACGGTTTCTTGATGGAGCACGCCGGGAGGGCGAAGCGGAGGGAGGCGGAGCTGGAGCGGGAGTACGCGCGCCTGGAAGCGGACCCCTTTGACGTGGACGCCCAGAAGCGCATCGAGGAGATCATAAGAGAGAAGAACGTGGAGGACAATTTTTCTCAGGCAAGGGCGCGAGGCACGATGGCTTTGCGGATGATTGCGGGTTTGGGGGGGGTTGAGTGTTGCGGCCCTGCCCTTGTTGCGGGCCAAAACGGCTGTGCAAGGACGGATGGGAGAATGAAGTGGCACTACGAACGTGCCGCAGCGCACATTCGCGTTGCCACCAGCGCGTGTGCAGTCTCGCGGCGGCCAGCAAAACGGCGCGATGTTGGTACAGGCTCTCCGTGTTTCATCAGCGCAAAATGAAGCCTTGGCGGCATCCCACCAGCCCCTGGAATAGGCTGGATTACTGCTGATCAAGTGGGACGTGCCAGGCGTGTAGTTTGCCTCTGGCATGTTACCCTGGAGGCACTGTGAAGAACGGTCATGTGGAAGTTTGTCCACACTATTGCACTGCGGACTGGATTGCATGTTGTTTCCTGGGAACACTGCCCGACATCACCAGCTTGGTGACAGGGCTTGCTTTGCCATGCTGTTGGCAAATGTAATTGCAACGGATTTCCACTATTACACTGGAATCGTTCTTCGGCCTTCCACCTTCAGCCATGCTGCAGTTGTCTTATTGTTTGTGAATGCAGTGCTCCCCAGTATTGCTTGTTTCTCTGTACTGTGTTCTTGCGTCCCAGTAACAGGTGTCACTGAATCCAAATGTGGTAGCTTGTTGCAGTTGCGTTGGTTCTGGCGGCAACAGCAGTGGGCCCAGTTCTTGTTGCAACAAGGATGGTTCTTGATTTGTTGCACTGTGTCCCATCCATCGATGGTGGCGTGAACTTTGAAACTGTATGGCAAATGCATCATCCTGACTGTGTCCCTGGTTCGATGGCAGGCAATGGAACACAACCCAGAAGTCTTTGGGACAGTCACCATGGTGTATGTGAACATGGAAGTGAATGGTGTTGAAGTCCCTGCCCTTGTTGATAGTGGAGCTCAGACAACAATCATGACAGTCTCATTTGCCGAAAAATGTAATCTGTTGCGGCTGGTGGATAAGCGTTATGCGGGAGTGGCGTTTGGAGCAGGCAGCAGCAAAATTCTTGGCAGGGTACATCAGGTGAGTGTGTATGGGATCTTCTGGTGCAGAGAGCCTATGATTGGCTGACGGCGGTAAATATTCTGCATCACAGCTTGTGGGCGCTTTGTGGAGAACTTGTTAAGCGCCCCAGTCTTGGCTGAATACCTAAGCCATGAGGAACCTCAGTGACAGAGCATCTCATCCCCCTGTGCTCAAAATCCACTTTGCTTGCATTCTTTATAAGATGAAAAGTGCGGCGCTTGCAACTGTGAGCCGGTTTTAAGTGGCCTGCTTCCTAACACTATGATTGTTGCATACTCACTGGAGTTCATCGGACCGCCACTGCATTGTCTCAGTCTGCTGTCATACCTATGGTGAAAGTCCTCTGTTGTGTTCATCCAAGGGCTCAGCCCCAGTTCTATGATATTGTTATTGAAGTGGACTATTATGCCCCTTTCACCCCTCATGTGAATGTGGTGCTGCGATTGCACGAGTACTGTAGAAGCATCCTAAGTAGATGGCATCCTCCTCCACAGGCACCGATCAAGGTGGGTTCCAACTACTTAGCTTCATCCATCACAATCATGGAGCAGCGAAATGGCCCACAATTCATCTTTGGACTCGACAACCTGTATCGCCACGAGGTGGGTGGTCGTATTGAACCAGCATGCATTCAAGTCGGATATTGCAATTGAGGCGAAAGCCATGTTCATGCATTTTACATTACTGGAGGGGCAGATTGAAGGGTAGGGGGTGGGGGGGAGCCTGCCGCTCTCCACTAGAAGCCTTCAGGGATTTTCCCACGTGTCTCTAGTATTGTGTTCATGCTGGAGTAAGACAGTGTGCAAAAAGAACTTGTGGACTCTGGGCATGCTTCTGAGTCGTTGGTGGGCAATGTCCGTATTTTGTTACTTTTGTTAGGAATGTTTTCATTTTATGCACACGCCAATGCACCCCAAGAGGAGCGATCTTGAGTCGCCTGGGGCACCACGGTGTCATGGCTGTGAAGGCAACAAGGACTCAGGGACAACACTGGGCCGTTTGTGGCAGGGGGCAAGTCTCACCTGGCACTGCTATCCAGCATTTTTGCGATGGTTAGAATTCTGCAGGTGACCACGAGGTACCACTGTGGGAGGCTGTGTTGATAGTCGAGTAGCCACCTCCGATGTGGGAATGTCACTGGGAGAACTATGGTATCGAACCAATCTGCACACTGCACCTGATCCCTGTGCTGGTGCATTGCAGTGTTCCATAAAACTGAAGGAGAAGGTGCTCTACTTTGGAAGTGCCGATTGCAGCATGGATTTTCTTGCTGAGCACGAGGTTCCAAAGCATGTGTACCCCCAAGACATAGGGAACACTGGGGAATCCAGCAACCCAGGGCCACCACAAGGTGAGGTGCATCAGATGCGATCATTGGCATATTTAGTGATCGTATTCAGCGTCACAAGGCTGCCATCCACTCATAAGATCAACTAGGCGGTGACACAATGATGGTTTTTGTACCAAATACGCTTGACGTTCACCATAATCGCACATTTGAACCTGCATTTGTGTCACAATCTGGAATTATACCTGAAGGGTTAATGGTGGATTCCAGATTGTCTCAAAGCCACCTTGCAAATCGAGCTGTGCATGCAAGGGCAGTGTGAATGGGTGGTGAACATGTTGCAGCATGATAGGTGCAGTGAGACATATTGATGTTATTGGAACAGGGCATTACACGGCTGTGCATTGCTCTGGATCTGTACTGGCGTGGCCAGGGAGTGTATGTGTGCGATGCCTGTACTGTGTTTTGGCTCACAAGATTACGGATGCGGAGTAACGATGGCCGCAGCTTTGCGGCCTTCTGCAGGGGCACACTTGAGCATTCATTTACGCTCACGTGTTGAGATTGATAAATGGATCTTGTGTTTGAAACGTTACATAGCTCCTTTGGATAGGCATTGATGAAACGCCAGCACATTGTACAGCGACGTTCCGAATTTAAACTTGCAATGATTGGGTGGTGAGCGCTAGTACAAACATTGTTTAAGAGACAATGGTCATGTTAGAAGTTTGGTTGGGATGCAGAAGGCTCCTCGTTTAGAATGCTTCTGCGCAGGTGTTCATGGTGCATGCTGCCCATGGTGCATTCTGCCGATGCTTCAACTTGGTGGCGTTCAATACATCATTTGGCAATGTCAATGCTCTTTGGTTCTTCGTTTTTCCTTCTGGTTGGAATGTAACGTACGCATGCAGTGGGATTCGCCTTTGTACCTAGTTTGGGAGCAACTTCTTCTCTCGATTGAGCTGCCGGAAGAAATGGAGTCGATGCGATGGGGTGACGCAATTGGGCAGTGCGCACAGGTTGGTCGCGTGGGCCACTGGCTCCCCGGGCGCCCAATGCCTGTGAATGGCGTATTGGCCTTGCCTGACATCTGGTGCATTTTTCCGCAGGCTCTGCGCTAGCTCAGGACCAATCTGAATCCAAGCAGCCGTCACCAAGCGCTTCCGCTCCAGCCTCCGTTCCCACTGCCGGGGGAGATGCCCCCCAACCGACTGCGGGCGGTGATGCCCCCCAACCGACTGCGGGCGGTGGGCCCACTGAGGAAAGCATACTCAAACTCATGTCCCTCGGCTTTGATAGGGCAAGGTGCATATGGGCTTTGAATGCGGCTGGGGGCAATACGGAGGCCGCAGCATCGCTATTGTTTTCTGAAATGGACATCTGAGCTGGTAGCGGGAAAATCGTCCCATAGCGTTTTGACCCAGATGATTGTCCACACGCAGGTTGAATTAACAGTGTGACACTCACCGAAGTCAGGTTGTCTAGTGCGCAAGGGGTGCATCGAAATTGGGTTGCATTGGGGATGCAGCGACATGTCCAAATTGCAAATTGTAAAATAGAACAGGGGTCATCGCCCAAATAATGGCAGCCTTGCTGTCGAGTGTCGCGGGTGTGTTGGGCACTGATGTACACACGCCGTGTTCTCACGATTTCCAACCGTGTTGGTTTCGTTGTCTTTATGCTAAACGGAAGTAGGTAGGGCCTGAGCAGAGACGCAATGGAAAACAATGTGTGACCTGTCGGATGCAAGAAAACCTCCCCATGGGTCATCAGGTTTCAATTTTCCATGCGCCCCCCACCCCGTGCACCTCTCGTACGCCATCAGGATGCAGATGTTGTATCATCGACTACCAGCACGCATTGCACTTGCAATATTGTGAGTGAAAATCTGGTGCGGACTGTGTGGTTGGACATCCATCGAAGGGCATCTTCAAACTGAGCGAGACACATATCAGAATCCGTTGGTTGGTTCAACACTTTGGGGGAGGGAGGGGGGGCGCCCACGCCCCCACGCCCCCCTCCCCTTGTTGCTGGCCAACTGCCCCTTTTGATTCTCCAGACCATCAAGATCACCGCATGACGCCGAAAATGTCTCAACCAACTGCCCTGTACTTAAGCGCCCCCGGCATGCTTGCATTCTTAGAGACCAACACATACAATACAATTTGATTCCCACTGACAACATGTCCGCAAGCACTTCAAAGCTCTGGTAAGGACTGCGCTTGCACCCAATGCGGAACGACAGAAATCCGCTGGATTCAAGTCCTGGGAATGCCGCGCCATTTTGTGCCTGTGACCTGGGGGTCTTGTGGAACGATTGGGCAAAACTTACTACATTGTGCATGCTGCATTGACGTGTCAGCTGACATGTCATGCAAACCATCATTACAACCAGAAATTCTGGGCCAGGATCAGCCTTCCCCCTTCACCTGCACCGCCACAAATCCATTCTACAGACCCTCCGCCCAAATCAGCATGCGAACACAGCATCTAGCATTTGGCACACAACGCAACGGCTGTGCTTGTGCATGACAACATGCCCCTTGTTATGGTCTAGTATCGCAAATGCAGCAACTCCACGTTCAGGCGCTGGGTCTCTGTGCGCAATTCAGGCCACCTGACCTTTAACTCTTCCACTGCCTTCGCACTGACATTTGCGCACCCTGCTGTGTTCAAGTATCTGAGCTGCGTCATTTTTCCCTCTCTCAAGACAGCAATGCCAGCGTCTGTGATGCCGTTGCAGAGACCCAGGTTCAGTTCCTCGAGTGAGGACAGGTTGCCCACTGCTTTCATGGCCGCATCTGAAACATGCTTGCAGATGTTCAAGGTCAAACAGGACAGCATGCTAAGCTCGGACAGGTAGCTGGCATGCAGACAACCTATGCCTGGGCAGTCAGAGAAAGACAGAACCTCAAGCTTGGGCAGGGACGACAGCCCCTTCAGAGTGTCATCACTCACTGATTCACAGTTGTTGCAGTGCAACTCAGTGATGGACGACAGTCTAGACAGCACACTGCCCTTGACAAAAGGGAAGCCTGCGATTCGCAGCCTGCAGAGCTTGTCCAGGGCTGTCAGGACTACCAATCCCTTATCTGTCAGAGGATTTGGCCTATTCTTGTGTCCCCTCAGATCCAAGGACTTCAAATCTGACAGTTTGGCGATCAGGCCAGCGCCACAGTCTGAGAGCCCACTCGTGCCTACTATGGAGAGGGTGCTGAGGCCAAACACGGGAACGACACTTCCCACAAGCACATCGCCTGGCAGATGGCTTGCTCCCAGCCACAACGTCTTCAGTTCACTGAGTCGACTCAGCTTGCCGATCCCCTCCACGGTCATCCCCTGCCCGCACCCAATGTCAAGCCTTGTCAGATGCGACAGAGCAGTGCTGATAATGTTGAAGCTTTCATCTCCTTTTTGTTGTTCTTCTGCAGACTCCATCCTGCACTGCAGCGTTTCCAGACTGGACAGCCGGCCGATCGACAGCATCCCTGCATCTGTTATTGCTGGGCACTCGTTGATTTTCAATTTTTGGAGACGGCATGGCCCAGCCGCAAGGAATTCCATACCAACATCAGTCATTTTCCTGCATGCGGTGCAGTTGAGGACAGTGAAGGACTGAAGCATTCCCAACAGCCGAAGCACTTCGTCACTGATTCTGTGACAGAATTTTATGTTCAAGCTTCCCAAGTCCGGCATCACCCGAGCAAGTCCGCAGACCCCTTCGTCCGTGATCTGGGGACACCTCGCCAAGCTCAACGCCGTCAGCTGAGTCAGATTGGACAGCCTGTTCAGCCCCTCGCTCGTGATCTCCCGGCACCGCTTCAACCTCAGGCTCCTGAGGCGAACGAAGGCCCCCACGGCGCCCAGCCTCTGGTCGTCAAGCCCCTGCACCCTGCTGAGGTCCAGCCTCTCCAGGTTGACAAAGCGATGGGTCAGGGCCAGAGGTTTCAGGTTCAGCGGCTGAAGGGACTTCACTGCTGAGTTGGAGGCTCCCAGCCAAGCCTGGCATACGAGAGCCGCGCTTCCCAGGTCGCCACACTCCAGGAAGGGCACGACCTCGAGGGCGATGTGAGGGGGCAGTTGCCCCAAAGGGGAAGCACGGTCGGCATCGGCGTCCAGGGACTCCACGACATTCGGTGGGTCATTCGAGGGGCCCTCCGACGGCATCTCCTCACCGGGGCTGCTTGTCCCCAGCTGGAAGGCGCGCAGGATGGTGTCCAGGTGCTGCAGCATGGTGTCCATGGCGGGGAAGCAGCAGTGTCCTTCGCCCCTTCGTCAGCGGGTGGCGCCTTTCGCTTGCTCCGCTACGTGGCAGTAGTCTGCAAGAGGCGCACACACGGGAAGGGAATCAGCGGCACGAGCGTGGGACGCGTCGCGGTCGTGATGCTCATAGATTGCAGTTCAGTGACGCCGCTGTGACCTGTGGCCCAAGCAGGGCGGGAACACGCTGCGCCATACCCAGGAGCTTGGGACGACAGCGCTGTCGGTTGGGCAGTCCCCGGACGGCACGCGCCAATCGCGACGAGACAACGGATCGGTGCTGTGCGCAGATATCCACAGGGAAAGTCCTCGAGCGCGACCGCCCTGTGCTGGGCTGCTTAGCGTTGGTGCGTGGAGGGGATGCAACACGTCGCTGGCTACCACCCAGCTTCGATGAAACGTCATCCCTGGAATGGAGCGCTGCGATTGTTGTTAAATCGGTGCTCGGATCTGTTTGGGGATGACAGTTGGGTGTTCCCAACTTCATTTGCCCTTGCAACCATGTTGGTGACGGGCCTTAGGCTTCCTGAAGTCTGTCCAGTTTGGGAACGCAGGCGTTAGTGTCACAAATTTGGTGAGAGCTATTTTCATCGAGTTCATGCGATGCATGAATAGGTCGGGCAGCGACCCCACAAGCGGGACGCGGTTGCAATGCCCTTGAGCCGAACTGAGCATGTGTGCAAAGTGCCGCCTGTTGTTTGTCATTGCCATCTTTGCCAGGGGACTTGGGCGACATAGGTTGGCGGGAATGCACAATTGGTATCTCCTTTCGCTCCCCCTTACCACAATCCAAGTTCCTTTGGCACGAATTGTAAGCACAGCGAGAGACAAAATGGCAAAACTTGCATGCCTGAGTGCGTGGTGCGGTTGCACCTGTGTGTTGCTTTTGATGTGGGTGGCTCCTGGGCAAGGTTCCACCATACAACAGGCCTTTCTCCTCGTGCAGGAAAGCAGTGGCAAAGTGGTCATGCAACGCCACACACAGTTTCCGCCCTCCTTTCTGTTAGCCAGAAACGACAGGCACCATGATCCGAACGATCTCGTGCGCACAAGAGCGTTCTAGCAAACCTTGGGATGGCAGTGCAACCATATTGGCGACAAAGCCCCTTCTGCTACATGTCTCAATTCGATAACAATATTCAGCAAGTGCCTCTGTTTCTTAACCTACTGTACAACACTGTTCGAACACCACCCCACCCTGACCCACTTCCACTGCACTGTAAAGGTCAGGACCCTTGGCGCCCAGGGCACCAGACTTGCCACTGCATCGCCATGCATCACACTATCCTGGGCGTGCTGGTATGGCTCCCGTCAGGTTTGTCAGCTGTATCAAAGAGATGGGACAAGATGACGCTCACTCGTAGAGTCCCTGACGGGCTGAGATAGCGCCTCAGGTCGCCAAACGGCAACAACGTGGAGTAGCCCAAATTGCTTCTGGGGCTTTGTAGGGAGCCCTTCAAGCCTATCCCTTCCTGCTCAGCATTTCCCACAATGATGGTGATGGACACATCAATCTTGGCCCTTGGGTCGACAAACCCGTTGGCGTCGCCCAGCCGGCCCTTGAAGGAAGAATCCCGGTGGAAGAAAATCCCCAGCATCTTCTGATTGGAGGCCTTCTTAGTGGCAACGGACAGCATCACCTTGAAAAGGGAACCAGCGAAGAACACCTGCTTCGAGCTCAATGGCGACTTTCGATGGTCTCCAAGGCTCTCCACGTCGGCAAATTCGAACCCATACCTCAATTGCGGGACTTCCGGCATTCCCAAGAATCGGCAGGGGGGCGAGCAATTGGCGTTACAGGGCGGCAGCCCCAGGCTGCCGGCGCATTGGCTCCCGTCGCTGGGCCCCAAACCGTCGCCCTGGCGAGCGGCAGCGACGACCATGCTGTGCAGCGCCTCCCTCCGCCACAGCGCCTGCTGCAGCGCGCGCTCGTTGTCGGGAAGGTCCAGCTCGCGAAACGTCTCCCCCACGCGCTGCAGCTCCCAGAAATCCATCCCATCGTAATGCCCGCCGCCCCCACCGCCGAGCAGCCTCCACACGGAAGCCTCCACGCGCGCGGCCTCCCGCACGGCCTCCTCGCACGCCTGCCGCCCTTCGCCGCGCGCCCCCGCCCTCCCAGCACTGCGACCCGCGATTTCCGACTGCTCGCACTTGACGCTCCGCGACACGTCCGAGCCCTCCCCGAACGGACTGCCGTAGGACTCCCACGAGTCCATGGCCGGCCGGGCGGCGCAGCTGGACGCCACGCATGCCCCCGACGCTGCGCCCTCTCCCCACCGGAGCCTGCGCCTCTTCCGGCCGGGATCGATCCCCGCCTCCGGCCGGGCCCGCTTGTGGCCCTTCCGCCCCGACACCCACCCCCCCTCCTCCGGAACCAAGGCCGCCTCGTCCGCGACCCCGTCCGCGACGTCGTCCACGGCGCCTTGCAGGACGTCCTGGACAACCGCGCGCTCGACGGCGCCCCGCGCCTCCTCCAGCCGGCCGCCCGCGCCGTGCACGGCCAGGCGGAACCTCTTCCAGGGGCCCCCGTTCACCCACAGCTCGTCGGACGCCATCAACTTGCCGACGACCTCCAGGGGCAGTTCGGGCACCTGGTACCGCAGCTCGGCGTCCGCCGTGCTGCACAGAAAGTTCCACGTCAACTCCTGCAGCCGCTGCGCCAAGGGCCCGCCCGCGCGCCACTCCCTGGCGAACCTATAGTAGTCCGCAAACGTCTCCGGGCTCAGGCTGGATGCCACTGCGTCCAGGCACGCTTCACAAAGGTCGACTATGTCCAGGCACCAGGCGGAGGACAACAGCCCCATCGCCTCTTTGGGCCCCAGACGCTCCGGAATCAGGCGGCCGTACAGGTGCCCTAGCGCGGCCTCGAAGCCGTCGGGCGTCACGAACGGGTCGGCGACCGGGAAGTCGATCACCACCGGCCATTCGCCCCGCCCACGGCCCTCCTGCAGCAGGCGGCCGAACTTCGGCACCCGGCACAGCAACAGCTGGTGCAGGTGGAACTCCCGGCCCACGGCGCGCACGGTGACGTCCGACAGGTCCCTGTTGTTCCACAGGTGGGTGGACAGGTGGTGCAGGGCGCAGGAGGCGTCCCCGCGCGAGCCCCTGGCAGGGGGATCGTGATCCGGCCCAGTGGAGGCGGCGACGGACGGGCCGGGGCTGCATAGCTCGCCGGACGGCACCGCGATGCGCAGCCGGGGCGGAGGGCCCATGGCCGCTGGCACGCCCGCGGATACCCCGGTGCCAATCTCTCGATCTCCGCGCTCGCTGGATCTCTGGATCGCGGTCCGCGGCGACCGCGACGGTCAGCTGCCGTCCGGACCCGCGTTGTCCTCCTTGCCTCCAGGCAGCACGCGCTGGTGCCGAGTGACTGAGTGACTGAGCGACTGTTTTTGACGCGCCGCAGCCGCCAGGAAAGCCTTCGCGTCCCAGCCTTCGCTCTCCGGCGGGGCGTTGGCGCAAGGGAAATCGAGTCTGCAAGCCCGGGTGTTGTGGACTTGCAGGGCATGGGTGCCTGGGTTGCGGACGTGCTGTTGGGAGATTGGTTGTGATTCCCACTGGCTTTGCAACAATCCACACGAGGGGGCATCAGTCAATCACGCCACCCTCACTCAGCGCATAAGTGACTACCAGGAAGCTGCAGCTACTCCCAGGAAGCTGCAGCTGCAGCAAGAAGTACCTTCTTGCCTTGTTGTGTACAAAACAATGATGACGATGATGATGATGCTGATGAATTCCATAGTTACACAGCGTTCGCTAAACCCACCATCACGATGATGATGACTCAGGATAACGTGCTGCACCGTCATGAAAGCAGGAAAGAGTCACAAATCAGCAGAAAACTACACCTTTTCCGATCAGGAAATAGGGCACAATTCTGCTATTTATCATTCAAGGCGCGATTGTGGAGCAAAGATATGGTTCCCGTTATGAAAGCAGAAAGCCACCAAGCAGCCAGAGTCTCCTCCGGGAACCAAGTGTGTTTGGCTCCACACGCCAGAAACAAACAACAAAGCCATCCCATAGCTGCTGGTGAGAGGTGCCAGCTGCCAAACCTAGTGCAGAACGGAACAGGTATGCTTCGGAGCGTGTGCAAGACAGCACCATGGCAGTAATGTACTTCCATGAAGTACAATTGACGAGCACACACGGAATGAGCCTATGTTGGCAATCCGTACTGCACAGCATTCGCATGACAACAAGCCTGGGCTCAGCCTCCGCCCACCTCCCACCGCGCCCATTGAGTGTTCGAAACTCCGTGCGCCGCCAAACGTGCTCGAGGCTCTGTGTGCGCAGCAAATTGCAAGGACACAGTTCTGCACAGGCGTGCTGCCAACGAGTCAATGCCAACGACTCCCATGGTGAACCTGAAACTTACTGCAACGTCGTCCATCAGGCTGGACAGCAGCGACAGGGCTACAACACCCTGCAAGCTGGCACGAACCATCCAAACAGCCATTCGACAACACAACAGGCAAACACAATCAGAAACAATGTTTACATCTTGAGACCCAGCAATAATAGGACCACTGCGCACACAGCAAGTGGGCAGTGTCTCCTCCACAGCCCAACGCATCGTTCGTATGCTGCTGCGATGACGTACAACAAAAATTCCTCACCACCCCCACCAATTAATGTCCCAAGCATAGCTTCAACATGCATTGATCACACCCAACACGGCATTTCACAGACAAAGCCCACAGCCACAAGGGAATGCAACACCTGCAGCAGAGCTCCTGACCAACTTGCTGCAGACCCAGAATGGCACTCTTGTTGGCACACCCTTGAGACAAGGCACCAGGCCTTGAAGATAGTCGCCATCTTCAAGGTATGCCATGCACAGGTGTCCCGAACCAGCAACGCCAGGTGAGTCGGGCACTAATGCAGGAAATGCAGCCACAGCTTTCGGGCTGCAGCAACACTTGAGGCCTGCTGGTCAGAGACCACCAGCCATGGTGTAGTCGTACCTGCATAACAAGCCATGCATCAGGAGAAATCGAACAGCCAGGAGCACTGCTCCTAGTCCTTCAAACACTGTGAACAGCTCAACGTTCCTCACTCGGTGGTTTAATGCTGTGTAGATTCTGGCCTTCGCCACTTCGCACATTCCAGCATCCCTAACCAGACTTGCAGATGAGATTTGCATCCACTGTGTCTTGCGATGCCTACTGATGGAAAAGTGCACTACCACAGCCACAAATGTCCATGCAAGAATGGACCCACTCAGGTCCATCCACACTGTGAACAGTTAATGCTTCTGCTTTGTCGAAAACAAAACGTCGACCTTGGACTTTCAAGGAGATGGTCCACACTAGCTCAAGCACAGAAGTACCCAAAATGAAGCCTGTACAAATCTAATGGTAGACAAGCTGAAATACAAGCCGCTTGGGTCGGAAACAACAAGGTCTTCCGTGCAAGGAGTTATTTCCACTGGCAGCTGACAGCGGCATGCGCACATATCAAAGCAATCACAGTGCTGCACATATCAAAAGGACCCGGTACTGGCAGTCAAGAGTGCTTGGTCCACCATACTTCAAAGCAAACAAGCTCCAGTAAGGATGCAGACTCACTCGATCGTTGGCATCACTGATGCGACGAACTTCAAGAAGATCACAAGGTAGCTGCAGTGTCAAGCACAAAATGCTCAGTCACACAAACTGCATTCTTTCACAAGAGCAGACAGTACCCAATGTCAAGGCGCTTGAAGCGATCGGATGCGACAGCAGGGATACTTTATTGTCCCTGAACATCACTGAGCAGTTGTTGTTGACAGGCCCGTTCCTGGTTTGCACTGCATTGCCAGTATATCTCAGTGTTTCACAAGCAACTGGGCAGGTCACGCCTCTCTGTCCATAATGATGCAGTTTAGGGTTATCAGTATAATCACATGGCACAGAGTGCACAGGTGGCCAAGCTGTTTTGGCACCTACCTTAGTAAATAATACCCTTCCGCATTGTACCATAGTGCTTGGCCTTTTTTATGCACAGCAATAATAAAGCCGTAGCGGTGCCAATAATATGTGGAGCAGCCCCAGCCGCAACGTGAGGGTATCCGACTGCTCGCGGCATCTAGCGGACCCAGATGCAAGGGTCACTGTGGTGGGAAACTGGCTTTTGAGGCCATGCAAACTCAACGGAGTCGCCACTCCCGCTGTGACCATGATGCAGAGCCCCAATAATAACGGGCTGTAAGAAAAAGGCAGAGCAAAAATAGCAATGCTGAAATTTTAAATGCGGAAGGGTTGAATAAACCTCGGTAAGTTTTTGCGGCATATCGCAAGCATGCAATGCCTGCACACTGTGGCAAAATCTGTTCACAGTCAGAGCAATCTCACAGCCCACAGGTTGTGTGTTGGCGCACACGCAGATTCGCAGATCACTAGAGGTTGGCAGCTGTACAGGCCTGCCCCTGGATGTCATCGCAGCCAAGCCACGATGGCACCACACAAGCTGTTTCAGAAACCTGAGTAGAGTACAGAAGCGCCATGGTCCTCTGAGCCACAACCTTTTCATGCAACTGAAATTTATGGTGAACGATCAGTTGGGCAATAGCAGCAGGGCAAGGGCCATGTGCATGGACTTGGGAACAGCAAAAGACCTGTTTTTAGGCAGGTCCCACCTTCACTATCTTGTCCGCCCAGGCAGGGGAAGTTACAATCAGCCCTGAATACACCATCATCTGTGGGGAACAAATGTGCAGCGCCTAGGGTTCTGTCCTTCAAGGAATTGTTGCTACAACCTCGTTTTTCAATTCTACAGTCCGCATTCCAATTGTGACCTCAGCTGCCAGATCCCCCCTTGGCAAAAGAGGCATGGGTCTCTTGGCACACCACAGGCAGAGAACGACGAAACAAAGCCACAAACGACTAGTAGGTAGCTGACGAATGCAGCCCCTAAGCCAGATAGCTTCAGCATTCTCAAGGGGACAGGGGGGAGGGGCCAAGCTATTTATTCTAATGCTGTTCCCTTGTCGATATTCTTGTTGCACCAGAATCAATGCCACATGGTACCCAGGGGTGACAAAAATGAAGGCGAGCTGGACAAGGCGATGCAACAGAGCACTCCCAAGTTGGGTATTCTACATGTCACAAGGAAATGCAGGCGGTGGCATGGGGTTGCGGATGCAAGATCCATAATGCGAAGACTGCCACACAGGAATGAACCAGGGCATGCTCAGTGGCTTTGGAGGGGGTGTTGTGTGTGTGTGTGTGTGTGTGTGTGTGTGTTTGTGGGGGGGCTGGGGGGATTTGCAAAAGGTGGTGGCAAGCAAATTTGCCAGTTGTGTATTCTGTCGAGCAAACACATTGTCATGGTGTTCAAAATGATTTGATTCCAGCAGTAGGGATGGTGCAGCTGAACACAAGAGACCATGCGTTTGTAGAACACAAGGGACCATGTGCGTGTAGAACACAAGGGACCATGTGCTTGTAGAACGCAAGGGCCATGTGCTTGTAGAACACAAGGGACCATATGTTGACCGCTCTGAGTCCTACACACTGAAAGCCAGCTCCCACTGAAGGTACAGCTCCAGAGCAACCAGATGTTCCACAGCCTATGCATGCACTTGCATCTGTTTAGCTGTTGAGAGACGTCCAACATATAAACACACACTCCCATCTGTGATCTAGACTTCCTGTTGGTACTCACTGGTCCACAGTGAACTCCTTGCCTCCAGCCCGCATTTCGTCTCCCAATTTCTTCATCACTTCACCATGTCGACAAGGATGTACAGATGCTGCACGCATCCTCTCATTTGGGTGCTCATCCCAGGTGATTGTATTCCTTGCATGGACTGGGCTCACATCCTCATAGATCTGAGCAAGATCACAAGTTGATATGTGGCCTTATATCACCAGAGGAGATACAGCTGGAGTGCAAAGGTCCATACAGTGCAAGGGAGTGTGTGCTCAACAGGTATACCCGGCAGGATATACTGCAGTTCCCATCCTTGAGAATAGACGTGCATATCTGCGCCATCCAGTTACTCTCATGCACCCATTACATACAATAGTAGTTTGTGCTGTCCATGGCTGGACAGGAACATTCCTGCCCCTTGTTACTCCTTTACAGTGGTAGCACAGGATCAGTGCCAGAAAGGCAACACATGGAAAACGACGATGTAGGATGCATGCCCACATGGATCTGCTATCCCATGTGCACATGGAAGGGCTGACTTCTTTGTCTTTCAAAGACGCATCTGCATCACAATGGTGGGGCCATGATCTGGCACGAGTTGAACAAAAACACAGGTGGGCATGCACATGTGGGGTCACCTGATCAGCAGAGAGGGGTTGCCCTTCTTCATCGTATCCCACCAGCCAAAATCTCGGCACCTGGTAGTATTTGTCATAAGAAATGTACAAATCGTACTTTCGCGTGGATGTGCTGGAAGCTGGCAGTACCTACACAGCAGTGAAGCAAGCACCTCAATGCAATGCACAAATGTGCAGCAGTGGGGGACACGAATGGCTTTCAGAACTTTTGCTATTGCAAACGCGGACTTTTGGCCAATCCTTCGACAGCTGCTGTGTGTATCTATTGTAGTAGATTGCAGAACTCAGAAGACAAGAGCACCACTTGTTTCTCAGGCCAACTGCTCCATGTGCTGCAACCACTGCATGTCACAGTCCTCATAGATAGTCCTGACAACATCTGCTGTCAGCAGTCACTCTTGTTGCCACCAGCAATCCAGTGTGACAGCAAGCCCTCAAACTTGAACAGGAGCAGCAAATACCACAGATTGTGGCTTGCCTGCTGGTTACCACTGCACCATGCCATCCCACTTCGGGAAGACCGAAAGGGGCCAGTCAGGCAGGAACATTTTCACAGTACAACAGGTTCGAGATCCTCAGGTCTTGCTGCCCTGCTGCCCACTACTTGGCGTGAGACATAATACCCAAATCCGATCCCCAGCATGTCTACGCCCCATAGTCTGCTATTTTACCAAAAAGTAATATCGATTGTGATTCAACGCCCGATCGTCTGCCACAGAGAGTAGGGGGGCCACCATCCTCGCGCTGGTTGCCTCCAGAATAAATGGTGTGTGAAGATCTGACAATAGCAACTCAAGTATCCAGTATAATACCTAACCTTGCAGTGAGGCCTGCGGATCACATGGCAAAAACAACAGCTGTGGGGACCTGGGACTGGTACGTGATGTAAATGGCTCCCACTTGGCATGGCCATACTTGGGGTGCCCCGAGCGTTCTGCATGCCCAATTCGAAGTCAACCTTAATCAGACTGGGAGCACTGCCATTCAACTGCCATTTCGTGCTTCTTGGCTTCGAAACTTGTTTGGAAATGGCCCAAAACTGAGTTTCAGCAAACGCTTTTGTTCCTCTTGCAAGAACCGAAAATCAGTGGTCAACCTGTCCTGAAGTCATTCACAATTCAAACTACCAGGTCAGCAGATTCCAGCACAGCATATGGGGTTCCGGCTGTGGTTCCGATTTCTGGCAACGCCAGCACCCAGCCCACCGCGGAAGGTATCCACTGCCCGCCCTGTGCGGCCGGCATGCGGTACGCTGGCATACGGTTGATTTCAAGCAGCGGGGTGGCGCATGCGCAACCCGACAGGCACCTCGTCGTCCGGTTCGTCGCCGATGTCAACCACGTCGTCCTCCTCCTTTTTGTCTGCAGCCGTGTGCTGAGCTGTCCCGGCCGTGCCCACTGTTGCCCATTCCTCGCTGTCTTCGCCCCCGGCCACTTCCGCGACTGCTCCGAATTCGGCCGCCCTTGTCACGCTCGGGACTGGCCACAAACACAAAACACAGCGGAGGTTGGCACTGCGGACAGACAGGGCGCGCTTGGCACCGTTTTCTTCTGGAACCCTGCTGGTCTCCTGCAATGAGCTCCACAGGAATCGATCCCCGCCCTCGAGGCCCCTGCCCCAAAGCCAATTACTACTCTCTGCTTGTCGCGTGCGGCCCGCGACCACGAAATGAACCGCACAGTCCCGCCAGCCGAGAGGACCCCGCGCAACAAAATACACACAGCACGGCGCCGATCGACGAAGGGCCCCGCACCCTTCGTCCCGAAAGGTCGCGCACCTCTCCTGGTGATGAGATACTGCTTGTCGTCGGGCAAATAGGCCTTCCTCTTCCGAGGCTCTCCTCCCGCCCTGCGACACGCGCCCACAGCCGCAGCGCGTCACCGGCACGGCGCCCAGCAACGGGCAGCAAACCGGAGGGAAGACATCAGGAAGGTGAGCTTACCAGGCCCAGGAGGGGAAGGCCCTCACCAGGTAATCCCCCGCCTTCACGAACTCGGCCGGGGTGAGGATCTGTCGGAAAGGCCAAGTTTTAAGCAGCCGGAATTTTCGCAATCGCCGCGCTCTTGTCGGGGCGCCTCCAGGCACGGCGTCCGCGGCCGATTCCTGCCGACGTCCGCGGGGGGAGCTGTGCGCCACTCACGCGCTTCTCCTCGAACTTGGACGCCGTGGGCGTCGGCGTCACCCTCTCCACCGTGTCCTTGTAGGCGTTGTACAGCGCGTTTTTGACGACACCGATCCCCCGATTCATCCTGGCAGGGACAGCCGGTGGCGGTGGCAGGAGGTCCGCCGAGAGAGGGGCGGAGGAAGACTGCCCTGGGGGTGGGCGCCCTAATGTAGCCCAGGCACCCGTGACGTCAATCTTTGAACCGCCTTCGCCGCAGTTCGATTTCTTTCCGGGTTGAAAAATCAGTCCACAACGTCCTATCTGTGTTCCATTTCGCACCGTTTTCCAAGCTTTTTCTAATCCATTTTCAAGGCTGTTTTTGAAGGAAGGCGCGTGCCCAGTATCGAGACACGCGACCGTCACTGCGCGTCTGCCACCCGATCCCAGTCTCCCCTTGCGCCTCGCCCTTCCACCATTTCTGACGGTGCACATGCTGGACCCTTCCTCAATGCTGCACAATGCCCATGGTGCAAAAGATCGAGAGCCGTTACCGAGCGGAAAGGCGGAGGAAGCGAGTGTTGCCTGTTGCCCCGGGCCCAACTGGTGCTGGACGGCAACCACAAGAAATGCTTCGGCCATCCCAAGCCGCAAGCGCCTCTCAATCCATGATGTCCATTTTCACGTCCGTCACATCCAGCTGAACGCACCGCGCATCGCAGCCAAGCATGCTGCTGACGCTGGGGCGCGTCCTTCCACAGTCCCCATCTATGAGTTCCTTGATGTAACAACCAGCAGCAGCCTCCACCCTGACAATGAAATAATTGGGCTGGCTGGGGATCCGCTGGCACTGCATGGCGAAAATTTGTTTGCTGCGCACGAGGGCTGCGCGGCGGTGCAGGACGCGTATCGGGGTGTCTTGTTCCACAGAAAAGGCTCCTTTTGCCTTCATCTGATGCAGCACGTGGTCCTCCACCCTTTCAGCCGCCCATACGAGTGCCACATACACTTTTCTTTTCGTCTCCTCCCCTTCCTTCATCTTTTCCACCACCTCGCGCCCGCACACGCGCAAGGCCCTGGCTACGACGCCCTTCCGCTGGTCAGACAGATCCGCTAAAATTGCCTGAACCTGGTGCTCTTGAATGGCGTGCACCCTGGGATCCTCAATTTCGATGACAAACGGACGCCCCTTTCCCAGCATGCGAACATCCATATCCTCCCTTCCGGCCGATATCAATTTGAAGTCCGCTGCGTCTACCACCTTGCGAATTGCGTCGGCTAGTACCTCCTGGACGGACGTTCGGCCCACCCTCTGTCCGTTCACAAAGAAGGGCGTGTGGCTAATGTCGCGGTGAGTCTTCAAGTATCGGCCACCCAGGAACAGCGGAGCATGGTGCATCCGAGCCAGTGTCTCGGCTGCTTGCTCAGCACCACACGGGGGGCATTTGAACGTGTTCTTGAATTCCTGCCAATCCATGTTGAGAGCCATTTCCGCTGCTCTCGCGTCATTCAACACCTCGTGCTCGTGGCCAGATTCAGACGTCCCGCCCCGTGGCCGCTTCTTCTTCTGCCCCCTATTGCTCAGTTGCTGCAGAAGTTGCACTTCCTTTTGGGACTGAGGGTGGCGAAAGCTCAACATCAGGGAAAAGGGTCCCTCCCGGTAGTGCGGAAGCCCGCATGAAGCCGCCATAAAATGGATGACGCACTGTCGAACCACCTCACGCAGCGGCACGACTGGTCCCACCGGAAAAGTTTCTTCTGCACCGCGGGCCTGCGCCTCGGTGCTTTGCACATTGTCCTTCAGGAAGCGCAACATGGAGGCCTCTCTCAGGCCTGCCCCCCCTGGCAAGCTCACCCCAAGGCTGCGCCCAGACACGTCAGAAAATTAGTCAAGGCTTGGGAGCCTGTCATTGTGGCAAAATCCAATACAAAATTCTGGCCTGGGCTCGTGACGCCGGGCACGCCTGGCACCATCAAATGAGCTTCCGCGGGGAGCAGAAGTACTGCAGAATCAATCTACAGAAGCAGCGGAAGGCGTGCGCCTGTAACGCCCTTCCACAAAATTCGGGTTCCAAGCCCCATTAGACACGAAAAAATCGCATTCGTGGAGATAGGCGTGCATGAACATGCTGAATGCGCCTCTGCGCCCAGAGCCATGAAGCCACGACACTGGGATCTGAAAGCAAGAAACCTTGCGCACCCCTTTGTTTGACAAATGTCGAAACTGATCACGAGTCTGTTTCTGCGCCACCAGCAGCTGCCCCACACAAATGTCGCCATGGCGTTACAGGCAAAATCCACCATAAGGGCTGAAAGCGCGTACTGGACGAACACGGATTGTGCGCCGACAGATGGAAACTAACCTCGATGCTCCGGATGAAAATCATGACTTGCTGCGGTGAAGCGAGAAAATCGAGAGCGACGAGGAAAGCAAGTGGGCACGCACCCACCTGAAGTCCACGACGTCCCTGCCGCTGCTGTCCAGGAGGCGCTTCATTGCGCCCAGCGATCCGTCGGGCAACAGCTTCCAGCTGAGGTGGTTCCACCTCCGCGCCGGCAACGGCTCAGCAAACCCCTCTCCGCAAGGCGCCCCCGGCACGGCGTCCAAGGCTTGCAGTATCCCGAGGCACAGGGCGCACACGAAGTAGTCCCGCACGGCTCCAGGATCCGGGAGCTGGACGCACTCATCAGCCGACGCGCTGGAGTCTGCATCCACGCCATCTTGGCCTGCCCCATCCGTTGCACGTGTGCGCCCATCTTTTGGAATTGCGACCGCCTTGGGCTCAGGGCTGATGATGCCGTGCTCGTCGGGGCCTCCAGCGGCGCCCTGATCCATCGCAACCGCTCCCGCGCCCCGCCACAGCTTCGCTGCAGCCTCGAATGTGTCCACCGGCCGGGGTGGTTTGCGGGTGTAGACGTGCCCGCGCACCCGACAGAACCTGAGGCAGCATCTTGGACACACCTGGAGGCTGAGGAGCCTGCAAACGACGGGCAAGTAGTTTCGACCGTTCCTCAGCACCTCCGAGAGGTACTCTCCGGGGTCCGCCCAGTCGTTTGGAGGGGAACGTCGCGTGTCACTGGCCATGGTGCAAAACTGGCGGCAAGGGGAGCGTGCTGACCGCCTTCCTCCTTATCGAGGTTGATTCGTCAAAAATTGTGCCGGACACATAGGTTGTGCCAAAGGCTGACAGATCCCGCCAGAGGCCTAGTCGGCACCGTAAAACGTGCAGACTCGCAAGTCAATCTCTCAAGGATCAAATCCAAGTTTGTGTGCATCGTACATAGCCAGGTATGGTCTACAGGGCTTGTGCCGTATCCTGTACGGTGCGTGCTTGGATTGCTCGCATGCACTGGCTCGGAGTGCTAGCACGTGTACATGACGAGCGTGGCACCCGCTATTCAGTACACGACAGGGATTCCAGAAACCGTAGGTCAGGTGGCTTGCAACACAACGCAGTCCAGCTATACAAGGGAGCAATACCCCAATACTTGCTGTGGAACATGGCTTTCATTTTGCTTGTATGCTTTTTGTCCAGGACGTGACCCGAGATTGTGTCGATTTCCGGTGCTTCTTGCAATTGTCGAAGTGGCATGCGTCATTCGTAGAAGCACTTTCCCCAACAGTTCACCTACAAATCGGCCATGTGTCAATTTGGACACGCACACAAAAGCAGTGGTAGTAGCATAAGAGCGGCAGCTCTGTCCTCCAAGAGCAGACCACATGAGGTCGGAAAGTGATCAGTTGCACTGCAAACGGACAGCCCAGCACACCTTGGAACGCGCATCCACTGGTCGCAGATGCAATTGGCCATTCAGAGTCACACCATCTTTTGAGTTTCTATGTGGCCATCGCCATGGACCAACATTCCCGGCACTTAATCAGCAGAAAGTGTATCTAATGTTATTGCTGACAGGACTCTAGTGGCAATTTATGATGACAAACATTAGCATCTGGCATGTTGTGTTTAGCCCCAGTGCCCTGATGCTGCAACCTCAACAACTGCCTACATGCAAAGATTCGGATTTAGTTCATTCGCTGAAAGTGCTGCGTGCCCCCATCAGTGTTGTGGCAACGACCTGATCTGGACTACGTTGGTGCCCATTTCGCACTCGTTCATGCCCTTGGAGACATCTCCTATGGCTGGCGGTGCCTGGGCCCCACAGCACTGTTGTGCTGCTGCAGTTCGTGTCCAGGCCTGCAGCCCGATCTTTGTCTCCTTGCTGCAGAGCAAGTACCATCAAGAGTGAAGGAGGCGCAACAACAGCGGAGTAGGCAATCCAGAAATTCAAAGCAGGGAAGGCCGCCGTGATGCAAAGGGTTGCATTACATGAGAACCATGTTCCTGACGCTGAAGTCAACCATCTGAACTGGAAGGTGCCACCCTTGACATCAATTTGCAGCTGATTGACTCTAATGCTCTCAGACAATTGGAAACAAACATCCGTCCATCTGAGTAAGGTTTCCTATCGATTTTTGTGCTTCAGTTGTCACTGTCCATCGCTTCTCTTTCTCTCTCTTGAATGGCAGGTGACATTTTTTTCCCAGTCTGCCCCCTGATGCCAAGACCAACAGCCACCACTGCCAGGTACCTGACAACGACATCCCCTTGAGAGATTTGTGCTCCAAGCATCACCACCTGTCTTTGTCCATTGATTCCTTCTGTGCTGCTGGCAGTTCACATTGCTTGCCAGTCTGCTGCCACAGACTCCAAGGCCAGCACCCAACAGCAAAATACCAGTGCAAAATATTCCACCAATAATTTTGCACCAGTGCAAAATATTCACTGGCCATAGTGCTTTCTCGTCTTTGGCACCAAGAGCATCTGAAAGCACCACCCGTCCAACGCTAGTCTAAGTCACAAGCCCCCTTCTCGCCCTCGCTGCGCCCGCCCCGCCCCCCTAGCAACAGAACCCTGCCCAAATACAAATCCTGTCGAAAGCCACAGTCCGGCAGTAGAGTGTCGACAGGTGAGGAGTGGGCACAGAGTTGTGGGAAAGGACTCAGAGACAGACAAGTGCGGTGGCAACTGCATGTACACAGACAGGCTCAAATGCGTGGACCCTGGTGGGAGGTACACTGTGAACAACTGCGCTGACACTGTACTGTGCCCTTCCCCTCCCGACTGCAACACACACGCCCATGAAACTGGCTCCTAGTATACTCTCGTCAGCATATACCTGTTGCTTGCCTCCACAACCCACAACCCAGCAACCAGCCAAATGGATAGCCCTCTGCAAAATCCGTGCTGCTCACAGCGGATTGCAGATTCTTGCTTTGGCCAAGCTGAGATTCTTGTTCACAGAGGCAGCCCATGGGCTCACGATTTTGACTTGCTGTCTGACCGCGATGAGTAAGAGGAGTTGGTTCCAGACGAAGAGGTACCAGAGCTGCTGTGTGAGCTCTGTGATGATGAATAAGATGAAGCTGATGAAGGAGCCCTGTTGCTCCTTTGTCGATCATTCCTACGGGCAGGTGATCGGCCCTGCACAACAATCCCAACAAGAATCAGCATCAACCTCACATTTCCTTTCTCTTACAACTGCTTGAGACTTGACAGGAGGTATGCAGTGTTCACAATGTAACCTAACAAATATTCACAAATGAACAGATCGAACGCCAACCCCAGGCAGCTCACAAGCACACCACCATCAATGCAGGATGAGAAATGTGGCAACGTCTATTATGCACGATAACAACGTGTACAAGGAACGACCTTGGAAAATTTCCCAATACAGGTATCTTTCAAGCAGCTGCATTTTTGGTGCTTCGGACCCGATTCCATTAGGTAGCTGGAAGTGAATCTGTTGTTGCCTGCAGTACGTTCATTACCATGACTACAGATACACTGCCTCTTATGTGCTCTGCATCCTCACCCCAATATTCCCCTGCCGAGACAGCAACACCACACCAGAAAGGACATAGAACTGCAGAACCCAGCACAATATGTACAGGATAACACATGCACTCCATTGTACACACTGTGGCATCTACACATTGGTTTGGAGCATACCCTTGAGCTCCCTCCTCGTCGCAGAACAGATCGACCGGCTCGTGGTGATGGGGAGCGGCGCCGGCGGGGTGGCGATGGCGATCGCCGGCGCCTGGGTGGGCTCTGCTGCATTCGCCTAGCATATCCCCTGGGAGGAGACCTGCCAAACACATTTGTTGGCGTTGGAGCCATGGTGTTAAGTAGAAGCTCCATGCAGCAGCTGCATTCAATTGCTGCCAAAATCCAACGCACAACGTACAGCAGAACATGGGTGGCAAGTGTACACATAACAGCTTGCAGGTGAACTGTGAATTTCAACCTTGTGACCTTCAGAGTCTGCATCAATCAGATGGGAGTGCTCAAAACAGCACAAACGTGCTCTGGCACCGATGGTAATACAATGTGGATTGACAACGCAATCGCCACAACATAACAGTGCAACAGGCTGCTTGGGGACTGAAGAAATAAGCGCGGCACTATATACAGCACAATGCATTTACAAAGCATGGTACAATGGGCACAGCAGAGCAACTTGAAACTATGCAGCCACAGCAGCTACAACCTGGCATCCAACAGCTACATCTAACAGCACGATGGGGAGTCTGTGCAGGTGCATGGCACTAGGCAGATATGATGCAACTTGGCAGCATGGCACAGAACTCCCGCAAGGAGCACTGCTGAGATGATGCACTTGTGGCCTTGGAGCTTAGAAACCCAACGATGCGCAGGGCACAACAATCCAAACGTGCTGTGAACTCATGAGATTGTCACTCCACAATGAGGGCAGCTACGGATGTCCGATCTTTAAATTGCAGCAGGACACGAACTGGTCTTCTTAACAGGGTTTTGAAATTTCCAGCACTCACCAAGCATGTTTCGCATTGTCACAAAACTTGGTGCTCTGTGGGGAACTCAGCAAGTCAACAGTGGGGTATTACCTCCTTCGTGGTGATGGGTACCTCCTGTCCACGGGCGATCTGTACCGAGGTGGAGAGCGCCTTGGTGGTGGCGACCTCCTCCTGGGTGGGGGTGAGTGTCGCCTGGGGGAGACTGGTGCACGCCTGGTCCCAGGGGACCGCCGTCTGGGGCTCCGCCGCTCCCTATCCTTGTCTCTTGGCTTTTCCCTTTCCCTTTCCCTTTCCCTTTCCTTTTCCCGCTCCATGCCCCGTTCCCTTTGTGGTGGTGCATCTCGCCTGGGAGGACTGGGGGGTGCACGATGAGGAACGGGGGAAGGCATCTTCTTGCGTGGTACCAGAACGAACTGTACACTGCACGATCAACAGACACATAGGCGAGAAGCATAAGAACATCGCCGTCGGGCACGTACATACAGTGGATTATCACTATGGGGATGCTCCAATGTGCGAGGCAGCCCAGATTTGGACACATACAGCACACAAAACTGGGAATGCTATGAAGAGAATTCGCTACTATATTTTTGAGATACATATGTCCCAGTGCTTTAACAAGCCCAGTGTACCTGAGCAATGACCAAGACATCACTGACAAGCACTCCACCAAGTGACCCCCACAACAGCTTGAAGATAGCCACAGCCTTGTTCCATCAGCAGCCAGGAGGGCAAAGCAAACACAGCAATGGTCACGCTGCACAACAGCCCCAAGGTGTGATCCAGGCCACCCACCTGATCTTGCTGCCATCAATCTGGCCACCATCCATGTAGGCCTGAGCTTTCTCTGCTGCCTCTTTACTATCATATTCCACATAAGCGAAACCCCGGGGGAGATTCACAGCTTTGTCGATCGCAAGATCCACGTATGTCACATTGCCATAATTGGAAAATATCTCCCTCACATGCTCAGCCGACACATTCCTTGTGAGCTTCCCAACGTGCAGCCTGGTGGTCTGGGGGGGGCTAGCATCCCTCTCCTGTGCAGCACATAGTACAAGGGTGAGCACGCTTCCCTTCTTGGCAACAGAGTCTAAGTGCATGTCCAGATCAGGACAACGCTGAGGTTGTGATGAAGGCATCTGCCAAAATCTTGGAATGCTTAAGGCAGTCAACACGGCCCACCTGTACTTGACAAGGTCAGCACCTAATTTCATTGCAGGCCAACAGTTCGAGAGTTGAAAGCCCTGTGCTGCACCCAGGGAATAATGGTTTCATTCATCTTCACTTCAGCGGAGTCAACGTCGGTGGCAACCTTTGACTATGAGTACGCTCCTTTGCAACAAGTGATTTGCATTCAAGACGACCTGCCACTGAGCATCCCTTTCCACCGTGCAGATGCGACACCAGCCGCAAGGAGAATGTGACTACAGTCCACAGGAGGGCGGTCCAAACCTCCCCAAGCAGGTGAGTCTAAAGCATACAGAAGCTGATGCCTACCATTTCAACCCAAAAACAGCCTGCATCAGGCAATCGCCAGCCCCCCCCGAGCAAAAGATCCACCCAATCATTTGCACGTTCCAAAGGCGGCGCAGCGGCCTCCAAACGCACTAGGTCCCACGTCCCCACCTTGGGCAACTTCCGCCTCGCGTCGTTCTCCCCGTGCCCCGCCTCCGGGCTGGGCGGGCCCCGCTTCATGGGCTTGTCCCTCCCCGGCCCGCCCGCGTCCGCCCCTGAGTTCTGTCTCCCCGCCTGGCCCCTGCCCCTCTCCGCGCCGCCTCGCCTTGCCTCCTGCTCGCGCGAGGGGGGCCTCTCACGCGGCCGATCCTGCCGGTCCTGTCGGCCCGCGGGCGGCCCCCTGCGCGGGGATGCGGGCGACGCGCTGCGGCGCTTGCTCCTGCGGCCCCGCGAACGCAGCCGGGCGGTCGGCGACACGTCAGGCAGGGCAATGCAACAGCGCAAGCCTTCGAAACTGGCGGTAACCACGGCGGCCGCCGCGGATCAGAGCGGCATTCCAGATCGCCATTTGTTCCTCGCTGGGGCTCTGCCAGCTTAGCGTCGCACAAGGAAAAACAACAGAGGCATAGATCGCCCTCCATGGCGAGCCGACAGCTGAGGAGACGCCGCGAGGGCGAGGGAGGCGCGGGGGGGGGGCGCTGCGCGATCGGGCCTCACCCCGAAGATGAGCTGCTGGGCGTCGCGGACGACTCGGAGCCGGAGTAGGACGAGCCCGAAGTCGTGGGGGATCGGGGCTCCGAGCGGCCGCCGGGCTTGCTCTTGGAGGGCGCCATTTTGGGGGCGATGGCCAGCCAGGTTGGGCGCGGCAGATTTTCCGTTCCTCGGCCGCTGAGCAATTCTTTTCGCAGCAGCAGTAGATGGCGGGGCGCCTGCGTCATCGCAATCCAGCGCACCCACTTTTTTCGGCCTGATCCATCAGTCAAGCGCGCCAACCGCCCGCAGAGCGGGCGCAGGGTGTTGCGCCGCGGCGACGATGGCGTCCGGCAGGACCGCCACGGGCGCAGCGCAAGGGCAGTACAGCGGGCTCGCGGCACTGGGCGCCTCTCCCCACCCCCCCAGGCCGCCCCGCTGCAGATCGTGCCCCGCGCCGCGGTCCACGGCGTTTGATGTCGAGCCGTCAGCGGCGCAGGGCGCCGCCGATGGCGATGAGCCGCTGCTGCTCAGGGCCGTCAAGGGGCAGGCGGTGGAGAGGCCCCCCGTGTGGATGATGCGGCAGGCTGGGAGATACATGAAGGTCACGCTTGATTTGTGATTCTCGACCGCCGTCACGTCGCAATCCCCGCGTTGTCTAAGCGGCGTCGTTTCGCCCGTACAGTGCAGTCGAGGGTCTTCGGCTCGAGACGACGCTGACGGGAGGATTGGCGCCGGCGCGTAGCTGGACTGTGCGCCTGGGGGCTGTCGGTTTTGACAATTTGGCTTTGGCAACTTGCACCGCAGGCCTACCAGGACCTGTGCGTGAAGCATCCCACCTTCAGGGAGCGATCGGAGAACACCGATCTTGCGGTACGGCCGCTGATCTTGCTGATCAAGGCAATCTGCGCTAGGCATGTGACGAAAGGAATCAACCTGGATTTCTGTGGCAACACGGGTCCCCAATGCTTTGATGCCCCTTTCCTGCATCCATTCCCATGCCAGAAATTACCAAGTCAGAATTATGGTTCAAAGTCTGAACTGCAGTCTCTACCTCACATCAGACGTGCATCTTGTGGCAGTTGTTGCCATGTTTGCACCGGCCATGCCACAGCAATTGTGGCTGTTGTCAGCACTTTGTGCAACTGACCAGGGTCAGTGCCCAACAAGTTAGTAATCCACTATCCAGTTACTGCCTTACGCTTGCCACGGAATTAAGTGACGGAGGCCAACAAGTTAGTAATCCGCTATCCAGTTTCTGCCTTAAGCTTGCCACGGAATTAAATGATGGAGACCATCCTCCGTACAGGTGATATGGGCACAAAAATGTCCAAGCAGCACTGATCGAATAGCCATACCCTCATTTTGCCCACCACCCAGTTACACACCAGAAAATGGGCGGCAGGTAATCCAAGAGAACTCCGAATCTGACAGCGATACAGAATTCCATTGTGTCGTTTGTTCAGGTGGCAGTCTCGACTGCACAGCGATTGTTATCCTCACAAGTCTGTTTCGCCATGCCTGCGCAACGGAACTCCACCAATGACTCTGCACCGCCTATTGTAGTGCTACATATACAAATCGTGGATTCTGTTGAACACAGAAAAATATGCTCTGTGTGCAATGTGCAAGTTCAAGGATATATTGTACGGCATCACCAGCCAAACACAAGAATGGTAGTTCTGTATTCTAACCGATGGAGTCAACGTGTCGAATAGTGTTGCAGGAGATTCATGCAGCAGTAAATGCAGTTCACTGCAGCTGGTTGATTGCTTCCATGAATACAGCACAGCCATACTTGTGTGTCTGTCCTTTCGGGGCGACGTGCAGCTCAGGCATAATGAGCAGGCAGCGAAATATGTGACTGCAAAGCAAATCTCAACCATGCATGCAAATGTCACGGCAGTCATACCTTGGCAGTCCCCTTTCTCACCACATAGTTTTCACCAAGTAAGTTTTCCACCACGGTGCACATTTCATGCACAGTCTCCAACTGAATAGGGTACCTTTGTTGTGTGTCATCAAAAATACATTTTGTCAACAATAGCAAACACAGACAAGCACTGCAGTACCACCTGTTAGCGATGTCAGACCAGTCCTAATATGAGCTTTCCAGTCATGGGTAGCATGCACTGTTGTTCCACATGCCCGAGAACTGCTCCACAGAGCTGACTCATATTTTGCTTTGTCCAGGTGGAGATATCACTGCAGCCGTGGGAGGCTTTCCGGCCTGATGGTGTCATTCTTTTCTCTGACATTCTTACTCCACTGCCAGGGATGAACATACCATTTGACATCGTGAAGGGAAAAGGACCGATCATCCATGAACCCATCCGAACGATGGAGGTGTGTTTGGGGATGTGAGCCTGATTGTGACTTCCATGCAACAACTCCTTTTCTCATGGAGACATGCTGTTCTACATAGTACATCATCACAGTATATCACAAAGCAATTGCCTAACATTCAGCGCCCTGCACTGCATTGGGTGAGATTCGGATATGGCTGAAACAGACTTTCGACTAATGGATTGAAGGATTCTCTTTTCCCCAAAATTTGCTGTTGAAACATCATCCAGGTAAATCCAGGCTCGGGGACAGAATGCTGCATCAATTTTCAGAGAATTGTGAATCAGTCTTGTTGGTGTTGGGACTTGTAAGTTGTTCCTGCTGTACTGCTGGCCTTTCTTCAGTGTTGTGCTGGAGACAATGGACCCTGGCCAGAATGCTGCCATTGGCCTTATTGGTGTTGCTGCCTTTGCCAGCAAGTCGATGCGTTGACACCTCTTGACTCAGACAAGACATGCCCATTCGTTGGAGAAGCACTGCGCAGTCTCAGGAGTGCTGTCGGGAATGAGGCGGCAGTCCTGGGGTTTGTGGGGGCACCATTCACACTTGCTTCCTATATTGTGGAAGGAGGGTCATCCAGGAACTACACGCACATGAAGAGACTGGCCTTTGGGAGCCCAGAGGTCCTGAAAGCTCTTCTGCAGAAACTGGCCAATAATGTGGCGGAGTACGTCAAGTACCAGGTGAGTTCGGGTTTGTCAGCTGTTGGATTGTGAAGGCTGGAAGCATGTACCTGCAGTGGGTCAGGTTCTTATCCATTTGCTATTGTGGGGGCACCCACCTAGCATTTGAGCAAGGCATTTGGGTAAAATGCTGTGCCGCCCCAAGCATTCCCTTGCCCAGGGGTGACAGCTTCAGTCCCAAACGAAGGCAGGTGCAATATGCAGCAGCTGCTCAGCTAAGGTCCCCTGTTTAGAAGCTTCTTGCACATTGTCCGGGCTTTGATGCAATACAATTGTGCAATGGGCACTTTCTGTGCTCAAGCAATTCTGTTAACGCAATTGGTGCACATCTGGTGTCGTTTCCATACTCGACGGGCAGGTCGTGGGCAAGAAAACTCCTAGGGTGCTCTGGTTGGTGCAAGTAAGGACATGTCGATGTGCCCTAACACCAAGAAATGCCAAAAGCGTCAGATGCAAGTACAAGCAGTAGATGTGGCTGAGGCAGTCGTTCGTGGGAGAAAGAGCTGAAAGTGCAGCAGGTTTGCTTGCATGTCTGCAAAAATGGTGTTATGAGTTGGCTTTTGTACTTGACCACTGGAATGACTACTGGTGGTTTCTGTGGCTGCCCATGTTTGACTTATCAGTGTATGGGTTAATTGTTTTGTGAGCTCTTGTGCTGTGTCTGCCCTACAGTACCCTGCAACTGATGTCCACCACTGTGTGCTTTTGCAGGCAGATTGTGGGGCCCAGGCTGTCCAGATTTTCGATTCCTGGGCATCTTCCTTGAGCCCTGCTGATTTTGACGTCTTTGCAGGGCCTTACATCAAGCAGATTATTGACAGCACCAGGGAGACTCACCCCCAACTACCCATAATCCTGTACATTAGTGGGAGTGGTGGGCTCCTAGAGCGCATGGCAGCCTGCAACCCTGATGTCATTTCCATTGACCACAGCGTTGACATGGCGGATGCTTTGAAGAGGATTGGGACTGGTTTTGCTGTGCAGGTGAGGGGCCTTGATCAGTTTTTATGGGATGGCAAGTGTTCCCGCCAGCGTACTTCCTTCTTGTTGGCTTCAAATCGAAAACAAAGCCTTGGACAGGGTTCTGGGGGGCCTGTTGATGAACGGAGACGGGCAAATAACAAAGGTTTCCTACTGTGGACGCCCATGCACAAACAGACGTGTCCATGATGCTTTGTGTTCCCCCTTCATCAGCGGCAAAGTCACGCTGGTTAAGTCACACGAAAGAGACAGGAGAAGTTCACAGTTCTTGTCTGACTGCCATTGATGTGCATTAAATTCTTGGAGCTGTCGCTGTTGATTCCTTCGCATTCAGGGTGTCTATTTCCTGTTGTGGTGGGGAGCAGAGTTCTTTTTCAATGGGGATCGCCCAGTGTGCTATGTCGTTTCTAATGTTGTTGGACGATCTGGGACTGCAGGAGGCGATTGTTCGTGACGAAACGCTCCCTAGGTTGGACCTATGATGGTGGCAGGTCTACTGAGACATTCCACTGCTGCAGATCTTTTGTGTGGCATCTGCATTGCGTCTCTATATGTTTGAAGGGTCAGTTGATTCACTTGTTATCACTCATGTCCTGTGCATTTGCAGGGAAATTTGGACCCTGGAATTTTGTTTGGGTCTCACAAGGTGATTGAGGAACGCATCCTTGATGTTATCAAGGCAGTGAAATCGCAGGGCGTCCGGCACATCATGAACCTAGGCCATGGTGTGCTGCCTGGGACGCCAGAGGACAACGTGAGACATTACTTCGAAGTGGCAAAGAGTGTGCAACACGGAATCTGAGCATTGGGAAGTAGAACATTGCACCGTTCTGTTTTGTCCAGTGCCACAGCTTGAGAGGCGCCTGTTGATTCTTAAGTTCTTTAAGTTTTAGAAGCCTATTGTTGCTGTTTGGGCAGTAGCAACATCACCAGCAGCAACGAGTGCTGAACCGCAGTGCTGGGGGCGAGCCTTGATCACAATATATTGATGGCTCAGTCGCCACATATATATTGTGTAAAAATGGAGGGAACGATCTTGTGCATGTTTTTGGGTTGTTTGTGGTGGGAAATGGCTACAATACACAGCCCAGCACCCCAGGTGCCTTGTTGCACGCTGACTGGCTGTTAACTGGTGCTGCTTTGATGGTGTCGCAAACAGACCTACAGCCGGCAGGCACACCACAGCTTGTCGCTACTCCCATTGCCACAGTCGACGTTCCTATTTCCATCTGCTCCTTGTCGTCGAAGCTGTGCATGATGTGTCTGCCCGTTGTGCATTTGGTAGCCGTCGCTGAGCAATCGCTCGTGGTATTGGAAAGAAAGGACGATTTGGGAAACCACCATCTCCCATTGAATTGCCAAGATAGGCTTTGGCAATCTACCACATTTGAGTGTACGGGACCCAGGTTGTTGTTGTTGGGCCCTCATCTGGCGCTATAGAGTCATGCACTCTTGGACCCGGCGGAGCCGCCCTGCTGAATGTTGACTTTGTACGGCCTCGTTTCAGTCTGGGGCGACAACGGAACAGAATGGAATGGTATGGCATGGAATGGCATGGATTGGATTGGATTGGAATGGAATGGCTCCATTCTGTTCCGTTGCCGCCCCAGACTGAACCTCCCCAAGGTACCATTTGCCTCCGCGGCTGCTGACAAACCACTCGCATCGAGCGTGGTACAAGAACGTGAATGAACATAATTGCACCCACTGGCGCACCCCCCTTGTTTAGACCACCACGCCCGCCATACGCAAAGTGTCGGCAGCACTCTTGGCCGTTCATCCGCCCAACCTAACGATGTCCGCCCTGGGCCTTCTCGAGATGAGAAGGGCACCACCTCAACGCCACCGACGGGATTCTGTGTCGAGTCGACTGGACGCGAGCAGTCTCGACCGACAGTGTGCGAAGTGCGGGAACCAGGGCTGTGCCGCCTATGTCCCTACTCAGGAGCAGGCAAGAGTGTTGATCCAAAACCTAATTGACTAAACGCCCCTGACGATTCCGCCGTTGTCGCTGGTGCGTGGCTGCTCTGTTTTTGTTGGTAGGAGCGCACACCTTGCCTGCTTTCCCCGGAACCGACAGCTGCCCGTGCTGCGCTTGCGCAGGCGCTCCCCCTTGAGGCTTCCCAGCATATCGCCTGCGCCTTGAGGGCCCTCAGAGGACCAGCGCCATGTCCTCGGTGGACTCTGATGCAGAAGAACCCGAGTTGGATCTCTCCAACGTGGGTCCACCCGCAAGCCGCCACGGCCTGCCGCCGCTGCCCAATGCCCAGCGGCTGATCGGCTGACCTCCAGTGCTTACTTCCCCCTCCAGTCTGATGTCGTCACAAAATACAAGGCGGCAGCCGATATTTGCAACCGTGAGTGCTCCCCCCTCCATTTCACTTTCCCAAGTTTTCTTCTGACGACTGGCAATTGACCCGCGGGGAGCAAGTCGGCGGCGATTGACTGTATGGCAACTGGCGTTGGGACACAGGGGCGCTGGCCGCCGTGGTTGCAGAGTGCGTGGATGGCAGGTCCATCGTGGAGCTGTGCAACCGAGGCAACACCATGATGGACGAGTGAGGATCCCAAGCAAGCCGCCACCTCGCGTGCGCCCCCCCGTGCTCCTTGGCGGCGTGCTCTCGCTCCCGGCGTCGCCTCCGCGTTGTCGGCTGTCGGCCTTGGCTCTCGCTGGGCCTCGCCTTTCCCCTTGGTGGCCTTAATCGCGTGACCCATCTGTGTGTGCAGGCTGGTGTCCAAGGTGTTCAAGGGGAAAGACGTTGAGAAGGGGGTTGCCTTCCCGACGTGCATCTCCGTCAACAAGTAGGTGCAAGCCAGGAGGCGGCCGCCCTGGGTTGGTTGCTCGCGCTCCTCCGCCTTCCCTGAATCGCGGCGGGGCTGTGCGCTGCTTGGTCCTGACTGGATGCGTGTCTTTGGTGCCCTGCAGCTGCGCGGGCCACTTCTGCCCTTTGGAGAGCGACGCCGCGGTCAAGAACGGCGACGTCGTCAAGATGTGAGTGTGGCACCAGTTTGACCACCCACGACTGTGGCGACTGACATCTGCTCCAGTCGCCGCTGCCAGCCAGCGTGTGTTTTGAAGGGGACGTGCCGTTGTGCTGCACAGTCCCTTTTGTGCCGTCCTGCGTGCATTTACTTGGATGCTGACAGACGCCCCTTGCGCCCGTTCCTACAGAGACCTGGGCTGCCACATCGACGGCTTCATCGCCGTGCAGGCCCACACGATCGTCGTCCAGCCCGACCCCAAGGTGCCTATCACGGGGAGGGCGGCGGACGTGATCGCGGCCGCGCAGACGTGCTTCGAGGCCGCCCTGCGGCTGGTGCGGCCGGGCAAGAGCGTGGCCGAGGTGCCGGGGCCCCTGCAGGCGATCGCCGAGTCCTTCGGCTGCAACCTGCTGGAGGGCGTGATGAGCCACCAGCTCAAGCGCTTCGTCATCGACGGCAACAAGTGCGTGCTCAACAGGCCCAGCCCGGAGGCCAGGGTGGAGGACGGGGAGTTTGAGGTGAACGAGGTGTACGCCATCGACATCGTGGTCAGCACGGGCGACGGCAAGGCCCGCATCCTGGACGAGAAGGAGACCACCATCTACAAGAGGGCGCTGGACATGGAGTACCACCTGAAGATGAAGGCGTCCAGGACGGTGTTTGGGGAGATCAACAAGCGGTTCCCCACGATGCCTTTCACCGTGGGCGCGCTGTCGGACCCGCGGACCATGCGGCTGGGGCTGGTGGAGTGCCTGAACCACGGCCTGCTGCACCCGTACCCCGTGATGTACGAGAGGAATGGGGAGCTGGTGGCCCAGGTGAAGGCCACGGTGCTGCTGATGCCCAACGGGTCGGACAGGGTCACGGTGGCGCCCCAGCAGGTGGTGCAGTCCGAGAAGAAGGTGGAGGACCCAGAGGTGCTGGAGCTGCTGAAGAGCGGCTACAAGACAAAGAAGAAGAAGAAGGGCGGCAAGAAGGGTGGCGGGGAGGAGGGGGCGGGGCAGGCCTCTGCTGCAACCACCTCGGGAGCTTGAGGCCAGGGAACCATCGTGGGGTGCAGGCGCTGCTGGCCCTCGGGTGGTGCGACGCTCGCTCGGTTCGTTGCAGTGGTGTCTGTGGTGGCTGCAAATCGCAATTTCCTTGCAAGCACCAACGGTCGTGGGCATGTCGGGCACTCGGAAACTCGTTTGCATGGGCTGCCTCCCAGCCATGCATGCTGTGATGCAAAGTAAGGACACAGTGTGTGGCATGGTGCATACCATCCCAGGACCGGTCTGTGCGCCACACTTTGAGGCCTTCACGGCCAGCGTCGGCTGCATCACAGCGGTCCATATTCCCCATCGCTTCAAGGATCATGCACCTCAAAGCGATCGTGCAAAGAAAGACTCTGCCCAGCCCCTTGAGCGTTTGCGATTGTTGGACAGAGCACCTGTTGCAAAGAGGTTTGTCTATTCAAGCTGGTGTTGGATCGTGGTGTGGGAAGATTGCAGTTGCCATGAGAACGATTGTTGCCCTTGCATCATTCTGGCAGAGGTTTGATATCCAGGGCTGAAGTTATTGCAAAATTTTGTGTTCCTGTCATGGATAAGCTCTGGAGGAATGCTGTCTTTGACCTGTAAGGGCCTCTCTGTGTTGTTTTCAAGATAGTGTAAAGCAACAATCTTTGCTCTTCTCTGCTCTCGGTCACCTACCTGGCCTCACATGACTAGTCTCCACTTCACTGACCCAGCTTGTGTAGCTCCCTCCTCCCGGCACAACACTCCATGTTGCTGTAGCTCCCTCCTCCCGGCACAACACTCCATGTTGCTGACAAACGTGTATTTTGAACTGCATGGAGTAGCAGCCAAATGCTGTGGTCATATGGCATTGCAGAAGTATTGGCAGTGGACATATGGCCTTGTACGCCGTCGCCCAAAAGCTGCTCAGGCAATCGTCATAGTGTCTAAGCAATTGCTTCACATGGTGTTGTCCATAATGAGCTTCAGCAGTCCTGTTGGCTGTGGCGATTGTAGCTGAGCAGGTTGGCGTTCCCAAGATGAATGTTCAGAGCCAATCTGCTGGTTGGTGATTCTCGGTTTCCCTGCTGACGGGACTGAGGTCGAAGCACGGGCATGTGCAAGCAAAGAAGCAGTCAAGAGTTGGAATCGAAGCCATCGAGGGGAATGATCGACACGTTTGTGCACGCACGTCCACCATCCAAACTCGACAAGCAAACTGGGGGGTACTTGCGCTCAGGATGCAGCACCACGGAACAGCGCCGTCATTCAATATCCAAATGACTACTCAAAGAGGCCTCGACGTCCCTCTTGGGCTCCAATGCCCGTGCATGGCCTCACCGGCTTTGACACCCCGAGTCGCCCTCACCAAACAAACCCATCCTCGGTGGGGAAGACTGGCCTGTTGGGTGCGGGCGTTTTTGCCGTCGGGCGCTCAAAGGCTTGGCAGCCGGCGCGAAGCAGGTCACACGGGTCCTGTGACTTCATGCACGGTCTCCACGCCAAGGGTCGGAACAGTCCGCCTTTGCTGCGCGTGCGTAATGCCCGTTGACATGTATTCTGTCAACTCGTGCCACTGCCCCGTACCTCACACCACGTGCTCCTCTGGCTGACTGCCCCTGGACCTCGGTACTCGGGTGCGGCTACTCACAGCGTCTGTCCTTCGCACAGTGCTGGTGTTGCAGAGCCTTGGCGAGTTTTGCTCCGACTTCTATCCAGAGGGAGCCTAATCTGGCTTCCATGTGCAACCCACCCTCACATATGGCATTTCCGAAGGCTGAACCTTGTCAAACTCTGCTGATTTGAGATCAGCAGTTCGGGAAGATGCGTTGGCATGGAATGCGCCACATCAGGTGACTGGGTATGAATCGCCAGCGGCGACGTAGTCAAGGACAAAACACACATGGCAATGCGCACCCTCAATCGTCACTTCCAGTCCCTATCTTGGCTAGCAAAAGCACCTTTTCCGGAAATATATTGCGAAGATTGGCCCCGGAGCGCCAAACTTCTCTTCTTGGAGATTGTGCACTCACGTCAGATAAGCCATATCTGGGGCTGAATATCGCCTTGCAACGGGTACCGCCCAAGTACTGCCTCACCACTCACCCAATCCACAAGAAAGTGCAAGGCGATGGCCCATAACAAAATTTTTCTTGACGGTGAAAGTGCAAGGCTCGCGCACCTTCTGTGATGACGTGGACGGGACCTGGAATTTCAAATGTGACGTAACATTGTGGAATGGAGAAGGGAGTTTGTGCACATTGAAGCACAAACAGTTGGTACTTCGGCAGCGCGCATGTGGCAGATATTAGTCAAATCCAAGTCGTGCATGTCACAAGTGCGTCGCTTGGCCTGGTGCTGACGTGATCTGCGAAAAAGTCATCGCTGAATTCTTTGCTGAATTTGGGGGATTTTGATTGATTAATCAATCGAAATTCAATATTGATTGAGCCAGGCAGAATGACGGTGACGAAGGCAGGCAGGGTCGAGGGGTGGCGATCCCTGAACGGGAATCGTACGCTCAAGTCCACGGCAACGGTTTACAGCCGAGGCAAAAGGACAACAGACGCTCTGTCCTTTATACCCAGTCCGTTCATCAACATCCTTAATGTAATTCCTAGTGCTTCGTCATCTTTTCATACATTCAGTTATTTATAACACTCAATCAGTTCTAGCCGTAACAACGGAAAGCACATCCGCACGCACTGATTTGTAGCGAGGGAACAGCAGCCCCTGTTGAGACCTGTGGAGCAACGGCTCCCGCCGCCCTTACCCACTTTTTGCCACCAGCAATCAGCGACGCTGGTCTTTGGGGCCCGTCGGGCGCCTGGACCGGCCAGCGGAGTCCTCGTGCAAGGGCCGGCGGAGGACGGTGCCAAATCAGGCCGACCATGTCAAACTGACGGGAATCTTTGGCAAACTGCGAAGAGACTGGCAAACGGAAAGAGCCGGTTCATTGTTGAATACGAGCTGGTCGATTGGTTGCAGGTGAGATTGGGAGGGTTTTCCAAGCACAGCTGTCACTTGAAAGGGGTCCGATGCCGGCCACTGTCTCGTTTCGATGGAACATGATGACCTTCAGGATTGAGGGGGATACTGTGAAGGGGGGATACTCTGGAGGCGTGTTCCAGGCGGTGAAAACGCCGACTCTGTGGCGCGGTGCGTACGGCAGCTGTACGGTCGCCATGCGCTATGGGTGCACCCCAATCTTGGTGTTCTTGGGTGCCAACTGTGGGATGTGCAAGCAGTCAATGGCAGAGGGAGCTTTCGTTCACGACTATCAGCTCAAAGATTCAGAATTAGTGGGCCATGATGTGTAAAAATTTTCACATACCAACAATTGGAGCAATCGCAACATTGGTTTTGGCCGTTTCAACTTCGATCACAACAAGACTGTTGTGGTGTGCTCTGTAGATGCACGATCAATCATAATGTACGCACTTGCTGAATCTGATTCTCCTCTTGTCAGGACGATGACCCAGATGTTGACATCCAGGAAGTTGTAACCATTGCCTTGAGGTGCTGTGCTATTGGCTAGAATCAACACAAGCTGGAGGCCTCAGGTGGTGTGTCTCACAGTCCCTGGCATTCAAGTACTTGGTGGTGGCACTCCTGGCGTTTGTTGAAGTGACCATCTAGGAACAGGTCGATACAGCACTGGCCACTGTCTCTGTCTCTTCTTGCGTGTTAGCGGGATCATGGCAGCCTGTGGAAGGGTATTCTGCCGAGTTAGCCACAGCCGCCTGAGTGCATTCCGCAGCGGTGTCCATTTCACTGGCAGTCAATCTGGCTACCACTCAAGGCCAGATCGAGATAGCGGAGGGTGTGGTTGCTTGCAGTGGTTTGGCACAAGGGCTTTGAGCTCTGGTGTGGAAACAGAAGAGAAGGCCAATGGAGGTGATGGGCTGCCTAGCTCACCAGCGCAGCCCTCTGGTGATGCGCTGCTCCCTTTGAATGCCCAACTGGAATGGCCCCAACCTACTCATGCCTGTGGTGCCCTCAGGGAAGCCCAAGCAGGCCAAAGGGTGAAGATATGTGGTTGGGTAGATGCGTACCGCAATTTTGGTAGCATTGTCTTCCTTGATATCAGGGATCAGTCTGGTCTGCTCCAGGTTGTGAGTGAGCCAGGGCCAGTGGACACCAGCACCATTGCGAGTAGGCTGCGAAAGGAGTATGTCGTTTGTGTCTTGGGGACTGTCCGGGTGAGGAAGGACCCAAACCCACTGCTGGCTACGGGCAAGGTCGAGGTTCTTGCTGAGGCGATCGTTGTTTTGAATGCTATTCAGCGAAAGCTCCCATTTCCTGTCAGCAGCGCTGAGGAAACCGAGGCACCTCGCGAGGAGCTCCGGCTGCGCCATCGAGTCCTTGACCTCAGGAGGCCTGCCATGGCAAGCAACATTCGCCTCCGTCATCACCTGGTGAAGGCAATCCGGCGGTTTCTTGAAGACCAGGCAGATTTTGTGGAAGTGGAGACCCCAGTTCTCACTCGGTCCACTCCTGAGGGTGCCAGGGACTACTTAGTGCCAGCCCGGAACAAGAGGGGGGAGTGGTATGCACTGCCTCAGAGTCCGCAGCTGTTCAAGCAGATGCTCATGGTCGCTGGCTTCAACAGGTACTACCAAATTGCAAAGTGTTTCCGGGATGAGGATTTGCGTGCAGATCGGCAGCCGGAATTCACACAGCTGGACATGGAATTAGCTTTCACAGACAGCGAAGGGATCATGAATCTGGTGGAAGACCTCATGAGCACTGTCTTCTGGCAAGTCAAAGGCACCAAGCTGCAGAAACCTTTCCCCAGACTGACGTATTCCGACGCCCTTAGCAGATATGGTACTGACAGGCCAGACACCAGATTTGAAATGAAGCTGGCAGACGTATCATCAGCAGTTGCGGATTCTTCTTTTCTTCTGTTTTCAAACTGCATTGCAGCGGGCGGTGTCGTGAAGGCCTTGAGAGTCCCAAAAGGCCTCAGGATAACGAACTCACGTTTGAAAACGAAGGGCGACGTGTCTGCTGAGGCTGTCAAGTGTGGGGCCAAGGGGGTGGTGTACATTCGGGTTCAGGAAGGGGGCCAGATCAATGCAGCCAAGAATGTAGTGGAAGGGCTATCCCAGGAACAAAAGGAAGAACTGCTTAGGCTCTGTGAGGCACAGCCAGAGGACCTTCTACTCCTGGTGGCCACATCATCTGTTCAATTGGCCAACAATGTTCTCAGCCACTTGCGCCTGTATCTAGCCAAAGAACTTGGAGAGATAAGTGAGGACGCCCATGCTTTGGTGTGGGTGACAGATTTCCCTATGTTTGAATGGAATGAAGGTGACCAGCGTTGGGAATCTCTGCATCACCCTTTCACTGCCCCTAATCCTGGAACCATTGCTGAAGATGGCGACCTCACAGGAGCAAAGGCATTGGCCTATGACTTAGTTTACAACGGCATCGAGATAGGGGGCGGCAGCATGCGCATCTTTAAGCGAGCCCTTCAAATGCAGGTATTCAAAACAATTGGATTGTCAGAAGAGGAGGCCGTGGAAAAATTTGGGTTCCTTTTGGATTGTTTTGACTTGGGTGCACCTCCCCATGGGGGCATCGCATTCGGAGTGGATAGACTGGCAATGCTGATGGCGGGAGCCAATTCAATAAGGGATGTCATTGCCTTTCCAAAAACCACTCAAGCTGAGTGCCTCCTAACTGGAGCACCAGCTCCAGTGAAATTTGGCCAGCTGGATGAGCTTGGAGTGCGTATCCAACCCAAGGATTCTGACAGTGAGTCGTAGAGCACTTGCACAGTGTTCAGAACTTCTTTTGTAGCCATGGAGACTGTAGTAGATGAACATGATGTAACATCGTCAAGACGAACCAATTGACATCATTGCAACTTGCTGGTGTGTGTAGCGTGAAGCAGGGCAGTCAGCACCATAAGTGGTTGCCCTGTGAGGGTTTGCACCAGTTGATGGTGCTGGGACATGGTCTCTGATGTCATGGGATTCTTGACCAATTAAATAGCAATCGCACTAATTCCTTGAGTCAGAATTGTCCCCAACTTCCTATCTCTTCTGAAGAAATGCATCAAGTGTAGTTGAAATGCTTTCACTGCTTCTCCGGCTCTTGGAACATCTCCCACCACTTTTCCTCTTCTTCGACCATCTTCCACCTGGGGCAAGTCGTTGGGGTGCTGTTGGCCTCACTGCCACAGGAGTCTCTGCTTGCAGATCCAGGGCCAAATGATAGTCTTCATGCTCCTGTTGCTCAGCTGCTGACACCCAGGCGCCACACCTACTGCACTTTGTTTGTGTGCAAGAGCTAAACGATACAGGCAGGCTGCTCTGCAGCGAGCATTCCTGAACAGCACCTGCAGCTGGGGACCAGGGTCTATTTTGGGGGGTCCCCAAAGCACAGCCCCCCCTGTCTTTTTGGCCCTGGCAGCCAGAGTGAGTCAAGTCCGCATCGATGAGAACTGCACCACTACCATCGTGCGAGCCTGCATGTGCCACTTGCTGGCAAGGAATGCTATCTCTTGCACACTCCACTGGATTGACTGAACCCACCTCACCCCCCAGCCTCGCCCTTTTGAATGTTTGGACAGACGGGTTGCTATCTGCCTGCCCCACAGTCTGGTCCTTAGCATCGCCCTGACAGCCATCTTCAAATTCTTCCTGCTTCTCTGGTGTGGCCTGTGATGCATCACGTTGCGACAGGCATTGCTTCCCAGGTTTCACGAATGTTGTAATGGCGCACTGCCCACGAGTCACCCTCTCCTCATAGAAACTTGACACACGAATGCCCATGAGCCGAACTTCGATGGGCATCTCGGCTGCAAGGGCTTTGAGCACAGGCTTGAGGATCTCGTTCGCAGATGACACAAAGCATGGCAGTGTGGTTGCTCGCGTTCTGACCTCGAAGGCAGTCGTCTTCAGCTTGAGTGTAACCGTCTTGCCCTTCAAGCCCTCTTTGGCCATGTCGGCCGCAAGGTGTGCAGCGAGTTCTCGCGCCTGGAGGCATCAAATCAGCTGCGTTCACCAAACAGCAGAGGCCAGGTTTGTTGAAACATGGCCTGAATGCAGAAGGAACTGTGCCAAGCTCACAAGCATGTTGCATCGCCAGCCGCGCTGTCCTTGGCGTTGTTGGCTGCTGTGGCACTGCAAAGCGAAGCAGCACACCTAATGCGTTTTGAAGGAGGTGGCTCCAATGTGCTACCTGTCTTTTGGTTTCAAAATACGACACACACAGAAAACACACCTTATGCTCCAGGTCTGCTTGCGTGCTTAAGGCCTTGAAGGTCCTTTCACAGCTGATCCCTTTCCTGCCAGCCTCCCCTGGGCCAGGTACCTCCCAGTGTTTATTGCTGCCTAGGCCCAGAGCGGTGTCGAGGAAGAAGGAGCACGAACTTGGAGAAAACAGCGCCGAAATGAGGGCCCTGTTCTCCATCAAATCATGGCATGTATGAATGCTAAATGCATGAAGCGTTTGTTCTGTCACTTTGCCTATCCCGGGCACCTGCACAAAGGGCATACATGTTTGAAACGCAGGTCCTGATCTGCCAAAATCAATTTCCCAGAGCCTACGCCAATCGCAATACCACTGTGACACAAGGCTTTTGCCATCAAAGACTGTAAAGCGTAACTCTAAACGCACAATGAGCAAATTCAGAAGTTTGCGATGGGATGCTTTGGAATTGATTTGCTCAGATTCGCACAAATGGCATTCATGGTGATTCCATTGGGGGCATCCTCAGCGAGGAGTTGTTACACAGCCCCTTGCAGGTGCAAGGGTGGGGCTTTGTCACACTTTGATGCTCTTTGACACCAACAAAGATGTGCACACAGCAATACATCTTGCGCATCGGTTCTGCTGCTGCCTTCCAGCACTTTGCACAGAGCGGAATCGAAAGAGGGTCGCCTGAGCACACCTCTGCCCACCTTCCGTATGGGCAATGCATCAACGAAGGTCTTCACAGCATGCCTCTCCGACTCCACAACATACTGGCCATTCGGCTTGTTCATATCAGATGCCACCTTCGCTAAAAACCGGTTTGGCGCAACTCCCACGCTGCATGTCAGCTGAGTGACCTCACGCACTCGATCACGCAGAATCGCAGCGACCTGCGGGAACGCAGATGCGCTTCACAAAAAGTGGCTGCAACGACGCCCTCCATAGGCTCAATCCTCCTTTGTCACCTAAGAATGTGGTGCAACAATGCCGTTTCCCATTCTCTCTGTTCTGGGAATGGTGCGCAGCACCCACTCCTGGTCACCATTTCAGTCACCTGCCTGCACCCTTCGTCAGTTTCACCTGTCATGCCTATGGCAATCTGCACAGTTTTCTCACTGTCATTTGTGCTGCTGTTCCATGCATTGAGCAGCAGCAGCACCACTGCGAACACCGCTGTAGATGTACGTGTCAAATAGGCAAGTGTTCAGGTCCCCAAGTCCAGCAATTGCGCAACGGACACTAGGGCGTGCCCAGCACAAGTTGCAATGAACACAATGCAGTAACCAGAACACCAGAATATTTGCAGAAAAATCAAAGCAAGAATAACGAAGTAGCAACATCGTTATCAATAGCTATAACGACAACAACAGGCATATACGCGCACATAAATAGCAACAGCAAGAATAGCCAAAACATATGCCTGTGGGTGTGGATCTCTGCAGCACCTGCGCCCCTGAGAGACCAGACTTATTGCTGTACTCTGTAACATCCAGGTACGCCTCGTCAAGACTTCCAGCATCAAAATCTGGGTCGAAGCATTTGAAGATTGCCCTGGTTTCCTCACTGGCCTGCTTATACTTGTTGAAGTCTGTTTTCACAAACACGAGATTTGGGCACAGTCGCAGGGCAATGAACCCGGGCATCGCACTCCGTACACCATACTTCCGTGCCTACAAGCAGCTCCAGACATTCAGGCTCAGTTTTCAAATTGGTGGTGAAGCAAGGACACGTCAACATGGGAAAAAGGGTGCGTCAGGGTCATTACTAGAAAACGTTGCATCTCTAGCGCTTGCCAGTAAACATGCACGTAGGTCCACCACACCGACTTTGGTCCCTGAGTGGAGCCTAGATTATCAGAATGAAACAAAAAGAAAATAGGAAAGAAAAGAAATGCATTGCAGCGTCCAAGAGCAGAGGAGCACAGAACCAACGCCAAGGCTAATGCTCACCTCATAATTTGCAGTGGATATCATTGACTTCCCACCCACAGCCATTGGCTGGCTTTTCTGTGCAATGACAAAGGAACTTTGTCAGGTAATTGTGAAAGGATCAAGAGGCATTGACTCAGAATGCCAAATTTTCAGCAAAGTTGGTGTACCCCACTGCCTACCAAACGCCAGTCACAGAATTGAATCCTTGCTAGCAAGGAAACAGAATCCAAAACAAAGTCACATCAAAGAGCTAAGTGACACATTTCAAGGCAGCAGGACAGATATCTTATGGACTGGGTACCAGCTCTGGTCTGTCGCGCTCCTCAACAGATGCAAAGAAGGCGTCCATATCCACATGCAGCCAGGTGCGACTTAAATCTCGACTGGCTTCCAGGTCAGCAATCCTCTGGTCCATGAGTCTGCACAGAGGGAACAACATCGAGGTGTGGATACCTGCAGGGATGCTGGCATCATGCAGCCCGCATAGTGATCCACCAAGCTTGCACAATTCTGAGGCAAAGGACATTTCTGGCCACATTATCACATTCAGATCGCAGTTGTGGCCATTTTGGCCTTCAGGAAGCCAGTGGCAGTGTTTTATCACTTTCAACAAATGCGCTCAAAACTTGCACAGAAAATTGGTGTCGACTCAAAGCAGAGCAATACAGTGGGCTTAGAATGGCTATTTGGCCTTGTCATTACACAGACGCATGAAATCGACACACTGTGCACCAGCTGTTCTCAGTGCGTATCCACAGATTCGTCCCACTGTGAAATCCTGTTAACTGTAATTGTCTCAGCAATATGGAGAGGGGAGTTGTCCCTGCAACATTTTCAACTCCCACACTCTCCACCCGCACAGCAGCCAGCGCTGCGAAGTTTGCTATACACTTGAGGCTCCTTTTTAACCAGCACTGATGCAAGCTACCCAGAGCTAGGATGTTCAGTATGTGGCTCTGTAGAAGAACTGCATGCTGCCATGTCGTTGCAACACGTCCACAAACAAAAGGGAGCGGGTGAAGGGAAACGCAGCCACATTTCTACAGCACATTCCAGGATCACCTCCTGCAAAAAAAATCACTTGCCTCAATTGGGCTGCAAGTTCCTGGGGTGTGAGCTTCTGTGCCTGGACCTTCAGCCTCCCGATTCTTTCTTCAACTTTAGCTTGCTTCCGTTGCTCATTCTTAAAATGAGCAGAATTCTGGGCAACAGAGAGCCGAAATCACGTGAAAAACCTTGCAGAAAACTTCCCATTCTCTACTTGAGGTCCACACATGGTATCCTACGTTGCACAGTGGGCACAACCAAAACTGAGTTCCCAATCATCCACCTTTCAACCAGAGTCAAGAGGCAGCTAAAAATATGTCTCAAGCACTGCAGTTCGTGATGCCAACGGCTGTCTGCCTCTGGTCATATTCTTCCTGAAGATGATCCCACGGATAACGCCGAGAGAGCCCGTCCAGAGCGAGAAACACTGAGAGCGTTGCTCCCAAATCGAACATGCGAACATATCCACATCACACAGCCGCATGGAAAACACGCATGGGGAGTGGAGCACTCAATGGCGAGCTGGGCTTGTTCAACACTGAGGTGGAGAGAGTAACTGATGCGCTGCATCGGCCATTCTTGCCAATAGAAGCCCGCGTGCTTCCTTCACTGTCCCCCCCTACAATTAACACCGACCTTGCTCATTTCAAAAACCACCCTCTTCACGCGCTCTTTATCGACGCCGCCCATCCCCGCCTTCTCGTTCGTGAACACGGTCTCATAATTCCTCCATTCCCCGCCTTCGCCCCGCGCCTGCGCTCGGGGTTGCTCGGCCATGGGCGCCTCACCGGACATTGCCGCGGCCACCCCTCGGCCATTCGGACACCTATTGCACGGAACGGACAGTTTCAATATGTGGTGACGTGTTGGATTACTAATCAGGGCGGTGCAGAGAGCTGGAAAACGACGGGGGTCGGCAAGAGTACCTGTGACGGCTTATAGACGGTGGGGGCGGCTGGGGTGGCCCTGCGGAGGGAAAACGTATCTTCAAAGCAGGAGCCTTGAGGCCTTGCGGGCGTGGGAGCAAGAGACAATGATGAAGAGGTCGATCAGACGATCTGCACGACTCGCAACAAAGGGAGCAATGCAGTGAGAGCCGGTGCCTCCTTTCTATATGTTTGCTTCCTGAACCAGGTTCCTATGGGCTGTGGCATGCCATAATCTCAGAAAAAACAGATGGAAATGTCACCCATTGGGCGAACGAAACCAAGATTGGGTGAACCGAATCAAGATTGGCGACACAGCACATGACCGGCAGCCCGGAGCAAGATTAAAGATCCTGTTCCACGCTGCTGCAAAATGTGTTAGGACAGGAAATACGCGAGGCCATCAGCAAAGCCACCCAGCGTCAGCAGCTGTGTCTCATTCTGTAAAGTGCTGTATTGCCCAGATACTTCCCTTCCTGGCGTGTTGTCCTGAATGGGTTGCAACAGGCCTGCTGATCGTTCAGCATTGTGCGCTGGATTGTGTCACCAGCCGAAAGAATGAGAATGGATAGGAGAATCCTTGTGCACCTGTCAATGAAGCGAACTTGCACATCCAGCCATTGAGTTTGTCATCAAACATCAGCAGCACGATCAATTCGCCATCCAAGAGAATGCCAAATGTTCAATGGTGGGAGCTGCCACCAAAATCTAATTTCTTGTGCATATCCACCCCACTCAACCCCACCCCACCCCACCACCACCACCACAGCATTAGCATACTGTTGTCACCCTTGTTCACCCGAAGAACCACCAGGCTGCTTGAAGATTGTGACAAAGGATGCAACTGTCCAATTGCTTGACCAATGGCCAGCAGCTCCTCAACTGGTAGTGCTGTTGATGCAGCTGCACAGTGGCCGACAGTCCATGGATATTGCAGAAGGCTCACAACTGTCCAAAGGTTGCAACACACTATTCCACTTCATCAGAACTAAATGTGCCTTGAGAATATCACATTGTGCTTGTGCTCCTCGCCTGATGGTTTGGCCTGACAGTTTGGTGCAAGGGCTTTCCTTTTGATGTGCTGACAAGTCTGTTGTCAATGGAATTGGACCTTATACCACTGTACAAAAAGCAGTTGGCTGACAATATCACTGGCAAGTATTCATCAACACTGCACCAGTGGTTATTCGCCAAAGAGTGCAGCTGCTGTAGGCCTGTGAATCATTTCGCATGTTCTGTTGTGCACAGATTGCAACCACCTGAAGCAAACAGATCAAACCTTCAAGCAGGCAAGCTTGTGAGCTTCTGGCTGTAAGAAGCATGTTTGAGCGGAATGCTGCCAGAATGGTGTATGGTAGTTTTGCATCTATCTTGGTAGATCCTGCAACGATTTTGTTGAAGTGCCTGTTGCACATATCTGACTTTCCACCAACACAGGGAAGCGAAGTGCATCTACAGGGCGCACAAAAAATGCTGCTATTAAGGTGAGAACCGTTTCCTTGGGTCGCTGGCAGCTTGCTGGGAAATCGGCATTGGACTGGGCCCAGTCAAGAATTCTTGTTGCCTGTGGGCCACTTGTGCCAGGTGCCAATGTGCAGAGGAGCCCATGTGCATTGTTTGTCAGAAGTAGGCTTAGCAAAATGCTGAGCATGAGGTATCCACGGTGACTGTTGTGCCTGGCACCACCCCATGATAGGTAAGGTGTGCCAACGACGTGAGTGTGCTCTTTACATTTTATTCACTGTAGCCCAGTCCCTTTGCCTTTGCCTTTTCTTTTCCCTCCTTGCCTTCTCTCACTGCTTCAGTAGCTGGAGTTGGACATGACCTTCTCATTGGACTTGCTGCTCTGACACACTGGTCTGTACGTCTCTCTTCTCTTCTTTCCCCAGGGCTGCCTAAAGGCGTAATTGCATGAATAATGCCTCATGAATGGAATCGACCAGCCCAACACCCCTCACATCCGTAAAGGGTGTTATATGCTTTCTGTCAAAACCTTGCGTTGGCTAAGTGAAGCACAGGCAACCAGAGGCAGACTGTAATCCGAGCTTAGAGATATGTTGCTGCTGACCAAAATAGCGCAGTTGGATTGAACGGAGAAGTTACCAGCCAGGGATATTGCTATTTCAGCTGAGCTCATAGAGGCACATATGTGCACTTGATGGTGATTACCAGTTTTGGGAGTCTCTCTTTTGAACAGTGTTACTTCACCGCAGACTGCGCGCTGTTAGTGGTTGCAAATGCTCCAGAATCCCACAAGATGCTGTGCTGCTGTGCTCCTCAATCAGCTGCATTAGGGTGATTGTTGGAACTGTTTGAACTGGATGGTTTGGGTCGTTTCTGAACTGCTGCTTTTTGTTACCTGTACTCAGAAGTCAAAGCTCGAGGGGCCAACTCTTGATCTGGAGGTCGATCTCTGGTCCAAGGGGTTCAAGGCCATTGCAGGGGTTGATGAAGCGGGTCGGGGCCCCTTGGCCGGCCCGGTTGTTGCAGCTGCATGTGTGTTGACACCACACTTTGATATTCAGGTCAAAAAGCTGCATGCTCTGCATCGTGGCTGACTCCAGCAAGCAACATCTATCTGCACCTGCAGCTAGTGATTTTTGTGTTGAGGGCTCGTTGGTGGCTGGCCATCAGGCCATCACGTCATCTTCTAACAGTTCTCCAAGACCAGTCGCTGTTATAACTTTGCAGGTGCAAGGCCAGTGTTTGTGACATTTTGGCACAGCTCATCAAATGACTTGTCTCTTGCTCCCTGTCACGCACTCTGTTATATGAAAACATGCTCTCAGGAAATACCAGCACACAACTGCTCATGTTGCCAATTGTTTAGCCACTGCCCACAAAGCAACCAAGATATGAGCTGCAAGCTCAGCAAAACCCTGAACAACTGTTCATTCGGGCTGTGAACATCAAGGGAGCTGAGTACGCTCGATCCCACACAATGTTGTGCTTGTCCTTTCCATGGATTGTACAAAGTGTGGCATTGCCTTTGCTTCCTGCAAGAGTGCTTGTTATAAACTCGCTCATGCATTTTGACACGATCGGCATGAGTGCCTCTTGCTTGAAGAAAAGTCCCCAAGTGAGAAGGTTGTGGCAGCTCCTACCAATTCACGGTTCTTGGCTCATTGCTTCAGGGTGTCAGTGACAGCAAGAAAATTCCGGAAGCTCGTCGGCTGCAACTGTTCAAGGAGCTGGTGGCGAGCAACCAGCTGGTTTATGCAACGTGAGCAGCACAGTTGGTGGAGGAAATTCATGCTGTGCACTCCATTGAGTTGATCCTCACATGGACTTGATATCAAGCCATACTCAAAGGGCAAGTGAACGTTGTATTGATGTGCAGCCATAGCATTCCAAGTGCTGCTTTTTGCCAAGGCAGTTGTTCATTGTGACAGGCCTCTTGGCACTTTTGATGGCACCTTTGCTGGTTGTAATAAATTGTGCGCTGGAATCTGCACCAGGCTGCCAAGTATACGCGGTGGAGGTGACGCCCTGTAGACTACCATGGTTTTGTGGTCTTTGCGGCATGACCGAAATTGCTTCTTTCTTTTGAGATTTTGCCTTGTTCCTTGACCGGTGTAATGAGTGGGGTGCACACACATGATTGTACACATTGATTGGTATCTTCCCATTGACTAAGCGACCACCATAGATCACCTCTATCGGAAGTGATTCACCCAATTGGTCCAGCAGTGAACTTGAGGTTTTGATGCCCTGCTCCTCAAAGCACCAAAAGGGCAATCAATTCCACAGTATTGGCAGGCATTGCCAGCCAGGCATTGCCACCAATCTGATGCCTTCCCTCTTCTTCTGTGCAGGTGTATTGTTGACTCGAGGACCATAGATGAAATCAACATATTGCAGGCGACATTCAAGGCCATGGAGGGCGCAGTCGCAGGACTGCCTCTCCCAGTCCCTGACTTCACCTTGGTGGATGGCAACATGCTGCCAAAGGCATTCCACCCTGAGAAAAGCATGGCCATTGTTGCTGGCGATGCCACCTGCATGTCAATCTCAGTTGCATCCATAATTGCAAAGGTGCGGTCTGGGACAGTTTGACAGGCAGATTGCCTGGTGGGCAAATATGACAGTGAGCTGTGTGCAAGCAGCATTCAAGTTGCAGTTTTACAGCCAAAAGGGCTCAAGACATTAGAAACTCCTGCCTGCAGGGATTGTGAATTCCAAACAACGTTTTTCCCTGTGCAGAAGTAGCTCTAGTAGGGGAGGCCATTTGCCTGGCGTCTGCTCATCTTGCTCCTGCCTGTTCGATGTTCAAGTTGTCCACAGGAATCCCTGTCTGTTTTGGAGATATACGTTGTGGTTGCGTATCCCAGGTCACCAGGGACAACTTGATGTTCGAGTACGATCGCAGGTGGCCCGACTACGGCTTTGCCAAGCATAAAGGCTACCCAACAAGGGAGCACATCTGTGCAATCAACAGATTGGGGCCTTGCGAAATCCATCGCATGTCCTATGCACCACTGCAGAAGCAGGCATCTGAAAGTCCAGAGTATATTGAATAGCACTGCCTTCCTGTGCCGACATTGGTAATAGACTGGCTGCCCTTTCGCCTGCAAGGCGATGATGGGTACCTAGGATGTGCTGAAAGAAGAAGGCATCCCGCTGCACAGCATGGCATCCAGACAGGTGATCCATCGCCTGCGAACAGCCCCAATATAGCCACGGTCGCCCAGAAGTGGTAATGCACAATAGGGTAGACATGTTCTACAGGCAATTTGTGGTGCTCACGTCTGTCTAAAGAGTTTGGCAGGACCATTAAAGGTGGTGGAGACCCCTGTTTAAGGAGCTCAATGCCTCAGCATTGCTTGATCCGAATTTTACGGTTTGATGCCATCTCTGGGGCAGGTACCAGATCTCGTGCAGTGCGCCTGGGAAGATCAGGACTGGTTGAGAACACAGTATGGATCAGGTTGATGTGCGCTGTATTGCCGATAATTGGAAGGAGACAGCATAAAACGGACCAAATGTATCGTGCTGGCGTGGAAGCCAAGGTTCAGGTGGTGGCGGTGAGCCCTCGTGCAAAATTCGCCGGGCACCTGCTTGCCCACCTTCAAAATATCAGAGAACGCGCAGGGCACCTGCTTGGCCACGTTCAAAATATGAGAGAAGGCGTCAGAATATCGACCTCCCCCTCATTTCCAGTGAGAACCCGCGACCGCCGACCGCCACGCGGCTCCCCCTCGTGACACAAACATTCCCCCTTGATTCCCAGGCGCTGGAATCCATCCAGCACTTCAGCCCGCATTTCCCACAGGGAAGTACGCGGCCCGGTGCTGTCCCGTGCCGGTCCCGTGGTCCGAGGATCTGCACTGAGTCAACGCCTCAGACGCGGCCCCCTCCACAAGCCCCGCACCCGGTTGGCACCGGCGCCTCCCCGCGTGCCCTCCAGTGTGACATGCGCCCCCCCGTTCCCACTCATCACGCCGGTGCCTCCCACCTGCTGCCGTTGCAGTGTGACATGCGCGGCCCGTCCTGCGGTGCTGTGGGGGTCCGGCGTGCCACGTCGGCCGGGGCCACAGCACGGCCGCCCTGACCAATCCCGCACCCAGCTGGCCCGGCGGCGTATAAATCATGCTTGGTCAGTGCGCTGGCCGGAGTCGCCCACACCACCGCAGCCCCTGCCTCGCTTGCGCACGACGAGCCACTCCCGCCGGGCCCGCCACCCCCCAGACCTTCATCAAGATGCGTACCGTCGCGTGTGTCCTGCTCGCCCTCGTGGCGGTGGCGGCTGCTCGCGGTGAGTGCACGAGGTGGATCGCGCTGTGTTGCGGCCACGGGCCGCAGCCAGCACTGCTGACCAAGGCGTGCAGCGCGCCTGTGAGGATGGATGCGCGACCTGGGGCCGGTCGTTGAGCGCCTTTTGCTTGCCGCTGGCAATGGGACCGGGCGATGCTGCCATCGTCGGCTCGCATGGCGTGGGGCCACGTTTAGCATATATCGTAGTCCGTGGTTAAGGGCGAGTGGACTTCACGGCCCGCATGTCCTTGGCCGTGCAGCGCGGGCTGGGCCTGGTGCTGTCCGCAGAGTAGTTGTCGTCGCCGGGTGCGGCGATGGCTGGCGGGGGCGCGGCGCCCTTCTTGCCACGTCGGATGCCTGATCGAAGGCGCGCGAACAACTTGCACCGAGAGCGGTGCGGATTTGACCTGCCAGCTGGATCGCCGAGTGCTGCGTAGCGTGGATTAGGCGGACTGGTGCTGTGGCGCCGCTGGCGTCGCGTCTCGTCGCTGTTTTCTGAGCTTTTTTGTGGCCTCTACAGAGCTCCAGCAGCTCAACTGCAAGACTGACTCGAGGGCCACCCTGAACCTCTCCGGCTCCGGCTCCGGCGTCGCCCAGTCCCAGGCTTTCTGCCAGGTGAGGCCCTCGTCGCTGCGCCCGTTCCCGTCGGGGCGTTGTTGCCCATCGCCTAAGCGTTGGCGGCGTTGTCACATAATCATGTAGGATAGGGTGCCACGCAGGCCCTTACACCCTCCGTTGCGTGCGCCTGCCAGCGACCGTCGCTGTAGCTGTCGAGATTTTGGCCGCCTCTGTGTAGCGGGTTGGGTGCACGCGAGTTCTCGTGCTGCTCGGGCTGTGTCGTCCAAGGTGCGGGCGCCACGCCCCCTCCCCGTTTCGTATGTCAGTTCATGGCGTGGGAGCGATCCATCTCGAAGGCATACGGGGTGCCCCAGGCTGCGTTCTCACATCCTTCCCGTTACCTGTGTTTCAGGCCGAGGCCGACGCCCGCAGCGCCATTGAGAAGACCATCAGCGAGTACGTGGTCAAGATCTTCGAGGGCGACGCCGCGGGCCAGTGTACCGAGGCCGCCGCCAGCGACGCCGTGACCGGCATCGCCAAGGCCGTCGCCACCGCCTACACCAGCGTCACCACCAAGGTGCGCCTCACCCCACCCCACCCAACCCCCGTGCCGGCGCCACTCGACCCGCAGCACCCCAGGAGAGTTGGTTCCTGGTGGCCTCGTGCTGTGCGCCGCCCTTCCTACAATCACCCTCGGCATGCAGCCGCTGGACCGACATCTGGCGCCCTGACATGCGACTGGGTACAACACAGTGTGGGCCGCAAGTTATCGGTTGAGCCCCCTGAGCGCAATGTACTGGTCAGATGTACTAAGTCGATGTACTGATGAGATGCACTACTAACTCAATGTACTGATTAGATGCACAATAACTAATGACGAGCACACGTGCTGCAGGTCGAGATCCAGGGCACGGGTGAGGCCTGCGCTGAGGGCTTTGCTGCGGGCGACGCTTTGGCCATCTCCCTCGTGGACATTACCCTGGACCTGTCCGTCCAGCTCATCGAGGAGAAGTACCCCGATGAGGGCTACGGCGAGCAGATCGTGAAAGCCGTCACCGGCAAGGAGAACGAGGCCACCGGCGCTGCCGCTGGCCGGGCCGTCGCGGTCGTCGTGGCCAGCGCCTGGGCCGCCGCTGCTGGCGGCGCCTGCACCACCGGCGGCTTCGAATCCAACTTCGAGGAGGCGTTCGTGGAGTCCGCCTCCACCGCCATCGCTGAGCTCTGGGCCACCGTCGTCGTGGAGCTGTGCTCCAACTTCGAAGAGGGTGAGCCACCTGCTGCCGTGTCAACGTCCGAATGCCGCTGCCCATAAGTGCTGCCCCGGCGTGTTGTTGCTTGCGCGTCGATGCTCGTGGTGCCCTCTCTGCCTCCTCTCTGCCTGCATACCTTCGTTTGGTATGCATCTGACGCAGTGCCTGCATACCGTGGTATGCATGTGAAGCCCTGTTTTTACCTTGGCATATCTTGATTGAGTACTGGGTTATAAGAGGACGTTTGATTCTGGCCGCTCGTGCTGACCCGTCCTTTTGTGCCCCGCAGGCGACCAGGAGGGCCTTAAGGAGTGGGCCGAGAGGACCTCCAGCTCCTTCTCCGAGATCGCCGGAAATATTGAGGTCCTCAACAAGACCCGCACGGAAACCACCGAGGGCGCTGTGGCCTCGGGCACGTCCGGGGAGGTCCCCCCCTGCACCGGCGGAAAGGCCCAGTGCTGTGATCTTGCTTACGCCACCAAAACATGCGACTGCGGATCTGGGTGAGTGCTCCATTCCACAACCAGTACGCGGAGCTTTCGATTGTTCGTGTCACGTGGCACTTCCTTGCTGCCTTTGTTCTGAAAATTGCAGTACTCCGTCGCCCTGGGCTGAGCTGTCTGTTTGGTTCATGACCAATGCGTGCGTGCTTCTATTGCAGGTGCTCTATGGAAGTCAGGTCCGAGGTCGGCTTGACTGGACTGCGCACCTGGGTGGACGGGTCTGACGTGCTCTGCTTCTGCCCACCGCCCCCCGGTCGCTAGATATGCAGGATTGCCAGGCTCGGGCTCGGTTCGCAATCAGATTGTGATACTGACCAGCGTTTATATAAGTTGCACGGATGGAGGAGCAGTAGGGGGAACATCAAGATTCAGAAGCGGGGTTGCTCGTGTCTTGCGGACGTGCGGCTGGCAGCAGCCAACAACAGGCATGAACCGGAAAATGTAAAGGTGCCGTTGAAATTCGGCATTTAACCGTAGACTAGAGTGGTTACCACCATCTAGGAGCGAGGAATTCACGAGTGTTTGTGCAGCGTCCTCGGAGCACGTCCACGCCCTGGCCCATGATCTTACCCAGGTCAGTCACAGATAATGTCGTCGAATTCACAGTCCGGAAAGTACAAAACTCGGTAACAGTCAGGACGATGCACGGAAGGTCGAGTAGTTTACCACTGATTCCACGAGTGAACGTACCCATTCCACGAGGTGCACTTCAACGTGACTTGCCCAGCGAGAGCACCTTCACGTCGAAGCTCAGAGCCGGTGTAGCCACTGATTCCACGAGTGAACGTACCCATTCCACGAGGTGCACTTCAACGTGACTTACCCAGCGAGAGCACCTTCACGTCGAAGCTCAAGAGCCGGTGTAGCCGGGACATTCTCACATGTGTGAAGGCACAGGAAAGATCAGTGATTCGTGTTACCAACGTTGCACTGATGTGCATCGCCCCACACTCAATTCTTGGCCGTGAAGGAAGGTGGTTTGGAGTTGGCGACCTCACAGTACACTCCACTTTCCTCGCACGAAAAGTATGGCAGTAGAGGAACGGTTAGATGTATCATTTTCCCCACTTTAATACACGTGTCGCCGCCCGTTGCGGGCACCACCCTAGCACCTTGTTCAAGATATGCACTACAGTAGGGGTCGCTTTACCCAACCACCCACCCTGCCCGGGATGACATGGCCAAAAAGAGGGCGCTATTAGGGCCCGGGGCGCCATTGTTGTAAGGAGGGTATTCTCAGCCGGTGTAAAGATACCTCAGGCCACCGGTGTAGAGGGTACCATAGCCTCCAGTGTAGGAAGTACCATGGCTGCCGGTGTAGGGGGTACCCTGGCTTCCCGTGTAGGGATAGGCTACACTAGGCCTACCGGGCCCATACTGGCTTTTGGTGGGTCTAGTGGGCCAGTCACCGTTCTCGCAGTACTTTCTTTCACTGCGACAGAGCCCAGCGCCCGTGACTTCGGCGCTGCGACCAAGCTGCATAAAGTACTACACAAATGTTGACAAGCCCCAAAAAGGGGGCGCTAGGGGGGCGCCGTATCAAGACCCCTACTGTACTCGTTCTTAATTTTCATAGGAAGTTGCTCCGGGAGGGTGGCCCGATGTGTTCTTGGCTGTCTCGACAACTGAACGTGCGTTTCACAAGGCCACGTGTTGAGGGGTGGAACTCGCAATGCGCCTCTTCACTTGCACAGCTGGGATCACCATGCGCTGTTCACATTCAATGGTATCTCTTGCCAGGCAAAATTGTCGACCCCACCCTTTTGTCATCGTCCACATCCCAGACTGCACCCCACAGTCCCCACCTGCGTCCGGACTGGCAGCCGGCGTGCTCTGGCCTTTGAACATCCACGCCAGCCAAAAAGCCAATTGCAGCGCTTGGCGGTACTGCACCCCCCCATCCCCGGCTCCTAGTCCGTCGCCTCCACTCTTCGCAGCCTCTGCCACGCCGTTCCTCGAACGCGTTGAGCTGGGGCGAAGGTGTTGCATGGGCGTTGCCCGCTCTGCTGGAACCCACTGGCCTTCAGCTGCGGCCGGCGCTGCGCATTCTCGACTTGACGTGAATTGCAATGGACCTCCGGCGGATTCAGGTAAAATTCGCAACGGAGATTGCCGCTCTTATTCCCGACGTGGCTTTCCATCCGTGCTGGAGGCGCAGATCTGGCAGGGGCTGAAGGAAGTGAGAGGTGGGCCTTGCCTGTGCGCAGAGGGAGTTGAAAGAGATCGAGAAGGACCCTGGGTCGGGCGTGACGGTGCTCGTCATGAGCGACAACCTTCAGGCGCTGCGTGGATGCTTCCCGGGTGTGGGCCTGGCACTGACGAGCTGATAATTTGCGACCGTGGTGTGGGGAGGTTTGCCGTCCTGACGCGCAACCCGTCCGCGCTGGCCCAGGTCCCAAAGACACGCCGTACGAAGGGGGCCTCTTTGATGTCGACATTCAGTTAGGTGGGTACTCCAGCGCCGTTCTCGCCGCTGGCAGGTGGAGAACATGGCCCAATACCTTTTGCGGACGACAAGAGCAAGTCCAACAGCTTGCGCGTATTGCAAAGAGCGCATTCACATGCACAGACGTCAATGGGTGCTCTGGACCCTTCCTGGATGCACCACAGCTGAACTCGTGGTGTGTGCTGCATGCATCACGGATTGCACTGCAAAGTATGCAGATTGTCGAGGTATTTGTTGCTGAACAATGCTTATGCTCCATTTCATTGGCCACCAGACACAAACTGACAATCAGTCCAGTTGTCGTTGGCAGAAAATTCGTTCCAAAATATCATCATCCTTAGTGAGGCCACGTTCGCCTGTTGGGATCCAAAGGCCTCAACGAATACGATTCTCTGGTGAAACAGTGAACGCCATAAACCCAACAATCATGGAATTACTGCAGGATTCCGCAGTGTGCACTTGAAGCATTCTTCCCAGTGACAGAAATGCACAGTTGTAAATGCTGAATATTCAAGTGCAATGGTAACAGGTCAATGTTGCAATCAGCCCTGGAAAGTTTGGGACACTCACCCTTCCAGAACTGAGAAACGCACATTTGTAGCTGCTGAGTATTCATGTGCAATTTTAAAGATTAGCGTTGTCAGCCCTGGGAATTTTAAGACAGCCATTGCCTCTTTGCCACCCTGAAATCAGCTGTTGGTAAGCACAATAAGACCCACTGCTAATTGTATTAAGAGAGTTGAAGACGATGGGAAGGGGCACTGGATGTGAGACTTCCAAGATGGTGTGAAGGAGCACTGGATGTGTGCATGCTGGTTCTTGTAGTGATCGATCAGCTGGTTGAGACTGAGACTTGAGGCTTATGATGCTTTTTGTCCTGTGCAACAGACAACCAATACCCCTTTGTGCCGCCCAAGATGAGGTTTCTCACAAAAGTGTGGTAAGATGAGTTCCCCACAGTCGTAGCCTTGCGTCCAGGAACGTATAATTTCACTGTTATCTCTTTTGCACAAGCAGGCACCCAAACATAAGCAGCCAAAATGGAGCCATCTGCTTAGATATACTGAAGGACCAGTGGAGCCCTGCTTTGACCATAAAAACGGCTCTCTTGAGTCTGCAGGCATTGCTGTCTTCACCACAGGCTGACGACCCTCAGGTGAGCAAGGGCCAATGGTGGCCCACTGCTACATTAGAGGTAGGAATACTGCAATATGTCCCACACCCCTTTCGGAAGGCAGCAGTGAAGCAGCAGGAGTGGCCATTGGCGCAAATCAATGTGCCCCAGCCTTGCTGAGGCCAAGGCATGCGCAGTGGCGGCTCCTGCCAATGGGTGTCTCTTGACATGAACGGTGCTGTGCAACATGCCAAATCCCCATCTTCAGCAAAGCCAGTAATTGACTCAACAGAAGACTATCAATTGTGTGATCGCTGGGCCATCGCAATTTGAGAATCTTGTTTGATTCATGCCAGGATGCTGTGGTGGCAAAACCAGTAATTGACTCAACAGAAGACTATCAATTGTGTGATCGCTGGGCCATCGCAATTTGAGAATCTTGTTTGATTCATGCCAGGATGCTGTGGTGGCAAAACAGTACATGTCTGACCACCAAGGGTTCCAGCAAAAAGCGAAGAATTGGACAGGTGAGATAAGCACATATGTGTGTGCTTGCGTGTGTGATGCATTTATCTGCTTTAAACTTCCTAACTCATAGCTCTGGTTGCTTGCCTTTGCAGACACTTATGCCAATGAACGTGCGCAACAAGAAAAGGCAAGATGGACATGCTGTGTGCTTTGAGCTGTGGGCTGTGTGAAGACGCACGTGTCAGCAAGAGGCATTGTTGTAGATTGAAGCACTCACAGAATTAGTGCATCTGGCGTTGACGTTGGCTCGAAGGACGTGCCAAGAGGATTGGCAGAAGTCATTGCAGTTCCATCCTACACCTCTGAGAGCAGGAGTATCTGTGCTTTTGGCCCCTGCCTGGAGTCATGCAATGTAGCTGTCTTCACAGACATTGTCATTTGCACATGCACAGATTTGTGCTCCTTGTATGAGAGCCATTACTGTTGCCCTGTATTCACCTGTTGTCAAAAGTGCGCTGTGCTCCCTTGCATTCATACAGGTTCAGAGAATTGTCGAGATGGGCTTTCCTGCAGAAGCTGCCAAAGAGGCCCTCTTGAAGGCAGGGGGAGATGAGCAGAAGGCACTTGATGGATTGTTGGGTTGATTGTTATCCAATCTTGGTCATCCAAACAGCACTTGTGTGCTGGGCACATACACAAGCATATGCGGCAATGGGATATCTGTGCATGAGCACATCAGGGCTGTCCAGCTGCCACCGTGATGGTGAAGGCATCCCAAGAAGGATGGACTCTTGATGTCTGCATAGTGCTCGCTTGACACAAATGAAGAAAGCAAGCAAATGACTGCCGCACGCTGAACGAGAGCTATTCACAATTTGGTTCGACAAAAGATTGAACAACTGGTGATAGATGTCAGACAGGGTCTTGCTTATGGAGTGCCTAGGCCTTGTGACATCTGTGGTTTCCGAGTAAGCATGGGACAATAGGTTTGTTTTTGCACTGTGGTTGTCTTTGTGTTGCTGAAACCATGGGCTGATGCCTGTGTCAGCTGCTTTGCTGGCTTAATCATTATGTGAAGACAGAAATGGAGAATTCATTAGCTGCAGGAGTACATAAATGCATGCGACACATACGAGTTCCATGTGAATGGATGAACATGGGCATGTGTCGCTGATTCCACGGGCAAATGGTGCGTCGTGGCTGCTTCAGGTGGCTTTGGGGGTTGTTCAAACTGTTTGCAATGCAAGGCAATGCCTTCTTTTTAAACTTTTAAACGTGGAGATGGGGTCCATCACCATGATAACATCATCACATTGGCATGCTCATGAAAGAGTAAGACATTGGCCATGCGTGTCGCGAACCTAAAAGAACTCGAGTCTTTGCATTGTCAGTAAACAAGATGGGGGGGGGGGGTCTAACGAACAGCGGTCAACCAAACAAATCCTCAATTGAGACAATGCCAAACAAAGTTGTGCTCTTTGGCCATCTTTGTGACTACCTTATGCGGCTGATGAGTCATGGCCAGAATTACGGGATTCCCTTTACAGTTTGTGCCCGACCCAAATTCCCAGACACAAACAGCTGATGGACCATGTACAGCCCATAAGTAGACTGACGAAGACGGCACAAACCAATCGAAGGTTAGCAGGATTGCGGGCAGGTCCTGCAATCACCCTTGAAGCAAGGGAAACTTGTTCAATGGCTTGACCACGCCTTTCTTGGCCCTGTGCACGCCGATTCCTTTCCGAGCTCCACAGGAAACTCAGCTGCCCTTTTACGCGGGCGAGTTCCTTGGCTATGCCAGCCAGCCGAAAGGTCTCGCCACATATAAATGACCACAGAATGTGCCAACACTTGTTACACACCCTTCGAGCCAATCTTGCAAGCCGCCGGCAAGGATGGGACCGTAATACGGCCACCGTATGTACACAGGTTCACGCAAAACAATGTCAAGAACAGACCACCTATAACCCCCCAGAGCTCTAGCAGCTGGTCGGTATTAATAAAGATGCCGAGCCAATCCTTTGGGTTGTCACCTTGACTATGTACACTGCCTAAAGACACTAGCACATTATCAGCACATATCTTAATGTCCAGTTTTTCCATTGCTTATGAGAAAAGTTTTGTGTCCTTATGTAAGTCAATTTTCAAAGATTCCCAGACAGCTCTTTCCAGCTTTTCCACAACTGCGAGCCTGACCCCTTGTCAATGACTGTCTTTGAGCTTCTTGTGTACTTTCATGTAGGTTATCTTTCACAACGGCTGCGGGGCACTCTAAAGTACTGATTTTGGGAGCTGGTTTTTGCATACTAGTATCACGGTTCAACTCTTTCGAGTTCTTCTCAAAGTGGCTCATGCTTTGGGACTCGCCTTATACATGGCTAACTGTGTAATGAGTAGGGTTTGTATTCTATAATGGTTCTTGCCTGATTACAGCCCCCGTCTCTTTATTGTGTACTGGACTTCACTGAGGCAATACCTTAACAAGTGTCAGGGGATGTTCACAATGAATGAAACCAAAGTTCAATCGTTTTATCGATGCCACTTACCTTTAGGTCCTTTTGGACCCAAAATGAGCATTGTTTACTTTGCGCTCAGCAGTTTGGTGTTTGATGTCATACTTGCTGGTTGTCTTCCGAACACTATACTATGCTTATACTCCTCTGGATTCAGTACTTAGGTCCTTTACTTCAACACTTTAGTGGGAGCTCCGAAGGCTTCCCCACAATATATTGGGCTGGACCTGGTACCCCATAGGTTTTCCCCAGTAGTGCCGAGCCTCGGTTTCTGGTTGTACTTACAACTGGTTTTGGGCCCCGCAAGCTTTCCCAATAGAGTAGCTATAATTGCACCATCAATCCGCAAGTTTGGTAACTTGGTAATGAGAACCAAATTTGTATTGGGCTGGACCTGGTACCCCATAGGTTTTTCCCAGTAGTTTTGAGCCTCGGTTTCCAGCTGTACATACAGCTGGTTTTTGGCCCCGCAGGCTTTCCCAATAGAGCAGCCATAATTGCACCGTCATTCCGCAAGTTTAGTAACTTGGTAATGAGAACAAATTTGTAATTACAGAATAGTCCTCCGTGGACTACGACCTGCTTTACAACTTATTAGTTTCAGTTCCCAATTCCCAGTTCCCTTGCCTGTTGGCTCAAGAGCTGGTCGGGTCAAGCCGCTTGTCCAAATGGGGTTCTGCCCTGCTATTTATAGCTGCAGCTGGCCGTCCCCCCGTCCAAGGTTCCCTGGAATATTTCCCAAAAGATTCGGATTAACCCCTGCTAGCTTCCCAGATCATCCCCTTCCCGTCTTATCAACTTCCCGCTCACATTTATGATCCACCACTTGTTATAATCCCGTTTACCCACTGATCCTTACAATTTCCAAGTTCAGGGCGGTTCAAGTCAACGTGACCATCAAATATCTTTATAATTCTGTCGCTAGCTTCCCACTGACCTCAGCTCATCACCAAGGTCATTCTGAAGCATATCACCCATCCCCGCACTTGCTTTGCTCATTGTTCTGATTCACTTTTACTTATGCATTCCACTTGTTTCTAGTCACATTCGTTGTCCAACCCCGCACGCTGCCCCTTGCCATCCGCGAGCTCCTCAGCGCCCTCCTGACTCGGCCCCACCACCTGCCGTTCGATCACGCACCAAACCTTCCGCCGCCTGCGATCACCTGACTCCATCCTAGCCCGCTCCCCCATGCCTCCGCAGCGGGCGCCAGCGCCTCGATCGCGCCCACCATCGCCGAGCAGGCCCTCAAATCCAGCACCTCGCCTGGCCTTTCGTCATGCCATGGGCTCCAACATCCCTCGGGGCCATCGCAGGTCCACATGGGCATGCAAAGTCCATGCATGGAGCGACGAATCGCGGCCATGTGGGCAGCACCGCCACGCCCATTCGACTTTGCCATCACCTCGTCCTAGCGCCTTGGCAGCCTCGATTTCGCGGCCACGTTGCGTCGTCGCTGCAAGTCCATCGTGTGTGCTGAGGCGCCCCACAACTCGGGGTCCAATGTTGCCGTACGACATCGAAGGCTGCTGTGACACATGACACACTGCAGCAGCTGTGGGCGCGCACCCCAAGGTACGAGATGGCACCCGTGCATTCGTCCATATTAGGTTGACATGGGTGACGCGTACTCCACACAAGGGTGTGAAGTGAAGGGTGGGGGCGGGCATTGCTACGCATGACATCCCGTCTGGCTGTCATGTGTGGGACCCAGCATTGAGTTCAGGCCAAGCCTGGCCCATGGTGGGCATGGGCGACCTATGGCGCCTTGTTGTGCGCCTTGTTGTTGTGCTTTCTGTCGCCTCAAAATACCGCATCCGGCACATTTTCTGGTCTATCATCAAGCTCTTTTTCATTACACCTTTTGTCGACAATGCATGTGGCACTCCTCAGTGTGAGTCTACCCCTCTTGTTGCGCCATGTCAATCAGCGATATGACTCACAACGCGGTTCTGTGCACTGTATGGCTCCGTTGAAGGACGTCCGGCGTGCCATGCCACCATGGCAGTCCCGTCAGTCGCAGTAACATATGTTACCCCTTTGTGGATCGACACAGCCATCACCTTTCAGCTCTATGCGGCGGATCACAATGTTGACAACATTCTCTGTCTATTTTAGAAAGTGACAAATTTGTCTGAGCTCATTTCAGGTGCATGCGCTCATCTTTCTGAAGAACGGCCAGTGACCGAAGGCAGC